ATATAGCTTTAAAAGAGCTATTATTCTAATCTAATTAAATTAAAATTTCTCTAAACTTAATAGTATATTCTAATATTAATTCTATCTATTATAAATTCTTAAGGTTTTTAATAGCTTATTATTCTTTATTTACTTAACTAAATACTAAAATAAATAAAGTTTAGAAATTCTTATAGCTAGTAAGAGTATTAACTATCTCTTAATTCTATAAGCTTAATATAACTTTATTATTATATTAGTTTCTAAAGTAAATCTAGAACTATTATTCTATAGTACTATTAAGATATATCTCTATAAACTTAACTTTATTTTTATTTATTATTAGCTTAATTAGAAAGAATTTAAAATATACTTAAAGTTAGATTTTAAATTTTTCTAGTTTATTAGTATTACTTAAGAAGGGTTCTAAGAGGATTAGTTATATTATCTTCTCTTTATCTTTTATCTTCTTCTTCTTAAGTTATTTAATTCAGACTATAAGCTACTATATAATCTTCTAAGCTATTAGGGTTTATAGAGTATTATTTAATAATTTAATAGAAGCTATTTTATCTTTTTAATATTATATAGTAATTAAGATAAGATAATTAGTTAAATAAGAGTTATTAATATATAATAATTAAGTAATTTATACTAAATAGAATCTAAAATAGATTAGAATTAAACTAATTAGAGTATTATTCTAAGTAATATAATTAGATTATTTTAGAACTATATAATATAAGTTATTATTAATATATAAGTATTATAGAGCTAGTAATAATAGATATATAGATAATTATATTAATAACTATTTAAAAAAGTATTCTATCTAATAAAAATAAATATATATATATAATAATTATAGAGTATAAGGAGTATATTACTTCTAGTAATCTATTCTTATTCTATAATAGGAGTATAATACTTCTATTACTTCTATCCTTCTAATAGTAAGATATATATAACTATATAATCTATTATAGAGGTCTTTATTTATAATAAAGCTTAATTATTTTATATTATTAGTAAGAGTATAAGGATCTTTATTAATTATTATTATTATATAGTTAAGGACCTGATTATATATAATAATCAGGCTCTAGCTATAAGGGATAATAATATTAGAGGTATTTATTATTATAATTATAAGGAGAGATCTAATTACTAGTAATTAGTAATAATAAGCTTAAAGAGATATTATAGTTAATTATAAATAATAAGTATCCCCCCTTAGGGCTTATAGCTAAGTTATATATTTAGTAAGCTTTTTTTAGAGTTTTTAGAGATACTATTATCTTATCTTAGCTTATATAAATAAAAAAGTAAAAAAAATAGAGTTAAAGATTAAATATAGATTAAAACTTAATTAAAAATAAATTATATAGAGCTAGTTATATATAGCCTGATTTTAGAATATCTCTTATATATAGTAAAAACCTCTAAAAAAAAATTAAATAATATAATAATAGTTATATAAACTAAATTAAAGATAAAGTTAGTTATTCTAAGCTTTCTAAGTTATAATAAATTAATAAAATATTAATAAAGCTTAATAAAATATTATAAATATACTTATAGTATTAAAAAAAAGTAGCTAGATTAAGAACTATAAAATAATATAATAATTAATTTTTTTAATAAGATAAATAAATAAAGTAGTTTAATAATATATTAATAATAATTAAAATAAAATATAATAAGTTATAAATTTATTAGTTTTTCTAAACTTTATTTAAATATTAGTATAAATATATCTATATCTTAGTTTAAATAAAGAATTTATTAAGCTAGTATAAGATCTATATAATAAAAATATAAATATTATAAGAAAATTAAAAAGAATATTTATTCTTTATAGTTTTCTAAATAGAATTATAGAAAATAATATTATTAGCTTCTATATACTATCTATATATATTATATAGATATTCTTAGATAATTATAAAGTTATTAATATTATTTTTTATAATACTAAGAAATTAATTAAAATAAGAATTATTAGTAAATAATATATAAAAGTAAAAAGATATAGAAATACCTATAAAAAAGTATAAATAACTATTATAATTATATTTTATATAATAAGTAAATATATTTAGAGATATTAAATAGAGAATAAAAATAAAGAAAATTAAATAGTTTTTATTATTAATAGTAATATAAATCTACTAATTAATACTATATAAATAAAAAAGATATTAAATAATTTAAAAAAAGAAAATTAATTTAATAATTATAATTATTATAATTAGATTTAAATAGAAATTCTTAGTAAGTTTAAAGAATTTATTCTTTTTAATATTCTTATAAAATTATATATTATCTAGGGGGCTATAGCTACAGCCAGGCTATTTATATATCTAGCTATATAAATAGCTCCTATTATTAGAGTTTTTAAGGTATTAATACCTATACCTAGACTGAAAGTATAATATCTAACTTTATCTTATAGAGTTAAAGGTTCAGATATAGACTACTAACTATATTCTTAAAAAAATTATATAATCTAGTTATATATTACCTGATCTTAGAATATATCTTTATTTATAGTAAACTAATAAAAAATATATTATCTAGTTTAAAAGAATTAAAATTATTATTTTTAGTATATTTAGAGATAAATAATAGTTTATTAATAATCTTTTTATTAGTAAAAGAATAAATAAATAGAAGAGAAGAAAATATAATAGAAAGAATAGATAAACTAGATATAGTATTTAAAATAATCTTAGTTTAATTTTAAAGAGTTAGAATAAAGAGATAAGAAATAAAAAATTTATAAATATTATTATAAATTAATAATTAGAATAAACTATTTTCTTATAAAGAAATAGAATATTAAGATCTAATATTATAAAGAATACTATTATATTATAAACTTAAGAAACTATAATTTAAAAACTTATTCTAAAAGATAAATAGATATAAATAAATAGAATATATAATATAATAAATACTATAAGTAGATAAAAGCACTATATCTATAAATTACTAATTAAAATAAAATAAAATTAAAAATATAATAAAATTATATTCTAATTAAGAGAAATAAAATTCTAAATTAAAAATATTTTAATAATAATTTATATAAAAAGTAATAAAAATATTAGAAGAATTAATAATACTCTTTTTAATTATAGAAATAGAATCTAGAGAAAGAAATAGAATATTAAAAGATTTATTTATTATTTTAAAGAAAAAAGTTTTATAAAATTTAAAAAAGTAGAAATAAATAAATATTATAAAAATTAAATAATAATATTATATAATAAAAGAAGAAATAGTATATAATTTATAAACTCTAAATAAAAAAAATATATATTATATATATATATTACTCTATTATAAGTTTTAATTAATTAGATTTTTAGAATTTCTAAAAATATTAAAAAATAATATTTATAATATTAAAATAGTATTATAATTAGAAGAAAATAGTTATAATATATAAGCTATTATAACTACTACTAGTACTAAGAAATAACTAGATATATTTAATTAAACTAGCTATATCTAGAGCTAGGATCTAGACTTAGAAGCCTATATAAGATATTCTAAAGTTATAAACTAAAACTAGAATTTCTTAAGCTTTAGTAAAAGTAATATACTGCTTTTCCTCTATATTCTAGCTATATCTAGCTATTATTATTATCTTTATTATATATTCTAAGATTTAAGTTATTTATTATAATTCTTAGTAAGATAGTTTTTTAGATATACTAGATTATAATACTATTAAGATTATAACTACTATATCTACTTATTATTATAAGTTATTATAAGTTATTATTATTATTTTTTATAATAGTACTTTTAGATATTAAGAAATAAATATACTTTTCTAGTTTTTAATAAAATTTTAATTTCTATTAATCCTGATATTAGTTCTTATAAGTATCCCTCTACTCTATACGGCCGGTAAACCAATCTATTAGTAGGTTTGTATCTAAGCTTGGACAAGCCTCTAGCACCTAGCCGTTTAAAGCATCGAGGGTCACTAGCAATAGTGATGAGGATCTTGAGGATCTCGAGGACAAGACCATAGTCGCCATCCTCGAAAAGACTGACATGTCCGCAATACATGGAAACTCCTCGCAGAACCGCTGCCAGCTGTTGGTTCGAGGCTTCAGAGAGGGACACGTCTTTGAACTGCTGCATCACGTCTGGCTGAACATGTTGCGATGAGCCAAATCCTGCGGGCGTGATAACGGCGTGACCAAGCGGCTTTTTGGTGTTGGGTCGGGAAGTGACCCTCCTGTGGGGTCCCTGGCTATCATATATTTCGAATGAGACAAGCTCCCAGCTTGTGAGCCCGGTGTTTATTGCACACACCTGTCATGTTTACAATAAAAGTAGATCAAGATTGATTAAGATGTCGTATAGTTGAATCAAGATTCTGGTAAGTCCTCTTCGAGACTCGCGCTCTTACCGTATATACGCACCTGCAAATGTTTTGCACTCTCTAGTTCCGCGGAACTATCTTACATCCCGAAATTGTATCCGTGGATACTTGGGCTCAGGAGACGATGGTCTTATTTCTTCTACCTGCACGAGCTGGTACGATACAATGAAAAGACTTAGTACTAGCTGATCAGCATACTGATAGTATCAGATGCCACGATCGAGAGCAACTAGCATTTCTCAGCTTAAATGAGAACTAACTCTATCAAAGTGAGCATGTTTCCTATTGACATCAATTCGGGAAAGCTCGTTAATCGCTTTGCTTGTTCATAACCGCCATTAGTAGAGTCTCCGCGTGTTGGGTTCGAGCCAACGTAACCAAATAGTATGCTGAAAAAGAAGCTCAATTTATCTTGACCGTCAAGCGAGATGTGTAACAAAACAAACATAGAACGGTACGGTGCGTTTTGTTTATCAAATGCTTCCGGACCCCCGATGGACATCGGCCTCAGCAACAGGTACCCCGCTTGTATCAAGTGTTTCAATACACCAAAGAAGGCTCTCATGGTCGTGTAATTATCGACTGCAGAGCAATTCTCTGGAAATGCTAAACATGCTTACCATTTTCCAAGACCAATCGGACCAGAGCAGGACCAATGCTTGTGATTCAGCTTGTTGTTCTCGACCTCATCAACGATCGCAACCGCCATGTCCTCGTTATATATTCCTAGAGCATTGCCTTTGTCGTCGATCGGTATCTTATCCAGGGTTAGAGAATACTGTCCTGTTCGCACTCCTGAAAAGGTCTGTCAATTCTGGAATTCAAGAGAGGCCGTGCCTATGTACATACCTTGGTCACGAAGCAGCCAAGGAGGTGAGAGGAAGCTCCACGGCTTCTCGCTGACTCCTGTGTAGAAAGAGAGGGCGGTACGGCACCCTTCAATGAGGCTTTTACCTGGTCCGCTGAGGAACAATGGCTTGAGTCTGCTTAGAATCAGCCATGCGATGGGCTTGAGCGGCTTTGAGAGCACTGTGCTACGAGTTAGGAAACAGACAGGAAGAAGGTGAACTTGTTTGAGTATGCTGACGTGATTTGCTCTCTATCGTATTGCGAGACCAGCGAAACAGGGAGACCACGATGGCGATGAAACGTGAACCGTGAGAAATGGCGCGCTCCTTCATATAAAATAGTTGCTGATCCGGCCAATCATACCTGATTCAACACGTCATTAATGTCCTATAAGAATATGCATTGTCATGTTGGAAGACATACCAGTGTTGGAAAGGAAAGTCTTTCTCGTCTACCAGTTGGACGCCGTCCTCATTGAATAGAGACCCTGCACCTCCAACAATGATAAAAGGCCCGGAGTGGGTAGAGTCGAGAAGAGCGTTCTTGATCCTCATTTGGCCCTCGACAACACCGTGATAAACCGTGTTGAGGTCGTTAAGAGGGGGGGCGAAGGCAGAGACAATGCCATCAAAGTTACCCGACATGGCGTCAACAAGGGCCTGATGATCATAGATGTCCACCGCAAGGCCCGAGTATCGCTGATTCTTGTCACGCCACTGAGCCGGGGGCTTACGTGAAATGCCAACCACGGTGTGGCCTAAGCGAGGTGGTCAGCATGGATTGCTATGGAACGGGCGAGACGGCCATGGTAGATTTACCTCTGGAGAGAAGCTCCTCTACCACGCATGAACCGCACTGGCCCTTGGGGCCAATGACTGCTACTCGAAGAGGCATCTGGGAGGTGAGTGACGTGAGAGTGTTTGTCAAGATGTGCTGCGAAAGGAAGGAGCCTCTAATCAGGGCGACGAATTATATGGGAAGTTTTGTAATGACAAGTATGACGGTGATGAAGGAATATTGCGGGAGTGGTCGATGATGTGTTATTAAACGGTATAAGTTACATGTGTCTGAAAGAAGCACAGCTCCTCACATAGTATCCACATCCTGGCCATCAGCAGGTCGGACCATCTTAGCCATACGGTCTCAACAGACGGGGATTCGGGGCTATCTTGAAGTCCGTCACCTAATGAGTTGACACTATTAGTCAATCTGTCTTAAGGCTGCCCCATCAAGCATCCAGGGAATCCGCTACTCCGGGGAAGCAGGGGCCATGACCAAGGTACTTCCGTGGATCGACTTTTGAGCATGTGAGCATCCAAAAAAGAGAGTTTCATTTGAAAACCCGTTGCAGTAGGCACTTCCATATACTTGAATCCCCTTCCTTCACTTCCCGCAGCATCTGCACCGTGGACAACCCGTCGCTTGCATGATGGCGCAGCAGAGGTATCACAAGGCTGCTGAGCGACAATTGCGGATCAAAGACGATGCGTACAAGCTGACACGATGGAAGCAGCCGGGGCGCTTGATTACGGACAAGTCGGCGAGGTTCCCGGGCTTCCGTCAGGGCAAGACAAGTTTCAGCGCCGGCACTCAGGCTAAGCCAGGCCATGCAGCTCTTCAGTCGTCCATTGTTCTCCATGAGAGTGTGGCCATGAAGCTATCGGACGGAACAACGCTGTACACAGATATTTTCCTCCCTGATGAGTTCCAAGATCTAGAGACTTCAGCGGCGGGTCGCGTCCCTGCATTGGTTGCCTGGTGAGTGAGCACCTTTTTACACGTACCACCGCTAATAACCTGGTAGGAGCCCTTACGGGAAGCAGATGGGAGTGACCATGCTGGATGACCTGCCGATGCGCGCCGGAGTGCCGCGGGAATGGGTTTCGGGCTTGCAAAAGTGGGAGGGCCCTGACCCTGGGTTCTGGTGCCAGCATGGTTACGCGGTCATCAACCCAGACAGCCGCGGGGCCTACACGTCCGAGGGCGACCTCCAGTACTTTGGTCACCAGGAGGCGCAGGACGGTGCCGAGTTCATCACCTGGGTCTCGAAGCAGCCCTGGTGTAATGGAAAGGTAGCTTTGACCGGCAACAGCTGGCTGGCCATCGCGCAGTGGAAGATAGGTAGTCTGCGGCCTGAGGGGCTGGCGGCTCTCGCGCCGTGGGAGGGCTTCAGCGACTTCTACCGCCATAACATATGCGAGGGCGGAATCCCCTTCACCAGCTTCCACGACACAGTAGCAGGTTCGTGCTCGCCCATTCTTGGCAGAAGAACTGACGGCCAACCTGTCTATCTTGACTGCAGATACCCTCGTCAGCCAGGGCCGCCTCGAAGACGCGAGTGCTGTCGCGGTCGCATCCAACACGTGGAACGACTACTGGGAGGATAAGGCTGGCCACCCTGAGTGGATCACTGCTCCAATCTACGTCGTGGGCTCATGGACCAACCCAGTGCACACTCTCGGGACCTTCAAATCGTGGGCTGCGTTGCCCGAGTCAACGCCTAAGTGGCTCAGGGTTCACAACAAGCAGGAATGGTCCGACTACTACGGCGACGACGTCCGAAAAGATCTGAAGCGGTTTTTCGACTTCTATCTGCACGGTAAGACTGGGAATGGCTGGAATCTGACACCTACCGTGCGCTTGACTGTCCTCAACCTGGGTCTGGGCAGCGCCGGCGATACAATCAATCGTGCTGAGAAGGAGTTCCCGCTTGCCCGCACGCAGTATGTTCGTCACTACCTGACAGGCGATGGGGACCTTTCTTTGAACGTACCCACCGAGACGACAAGCGTGTCGTACCGCTCCGAGGATGGCAAGGTCGCCTTCCGCTACAAAATCCCCAGGAGCTGCGAGACGACGGGCTACTTCATGGCCCATCTAGTCATGTCCTCCGAGTCGCCCGAGATGGACGTTTTTGTGCAGGTGGAAAGACTGACGGCCAAGGGTCAAAGGCAGGGAACCATGGTCATCAAACCGCAGAGCATCGTGATGCAAGGCGTCATCAAGTTCCTGCACGATCGGCAGTTGGCCGTGGAAAAGGTCGGCCTGCTGCTCCATTGGGGCCCATCTGGCCAGCTGAGAGCAGGGCATGCCGCAAGCTACGATGCCAGCAGGAGTCTGCCAGCCCAGCCCTTCTACACTCACCAGAGTAAAGCGCCTTTGGAGAAGGGCAAGCCCGTCTCGCTGGATATCCAGTTGAGGCCGTACGGCATGTACTGGCAGGTAAGTTTAAACTACACCCATTCCTCGCCTCATACGCTAATGCGTAACCGCAGCAAGATGACATTCTACAGCTGACTGTAGCTGGGAAGGCCATTCTACCATTCCCTCTTCCTGGCCTCAAGATGCATCACACTCAGAATGCTGGGGCACACAGCATCCAGTGTGGTGGCAATGGCGAGGACAGCTCGTACCTCTTGCTCCCGATTGTATAGGAGTCTGTGTAATAATTTCCCAAATAGATCATTTCACCTTTGACTGTTGCAAATACTGCCTTTTGAACTGAAACATAAATCTGTATAGACCATCCTTGTATTTCACAAGCTACTGTATACCAAGGGCAGTGATAGTAGCTGTAGCGCTCAAATAGCAGCAATAGTAGATATCCTGGCAGCTAACTTAACCGCCAAATTCATTTCAAGCTCAGGAGCAGTCCGTCATAAGAATAGCATCAATAGAAGAAATTAGAGTCCATCAGAGAACAAGCTCAGCTACTCAGAAGCAGATACCAGAAGATATTACTTACTGGCCTACAGCTTACTTTTTTCCCCGTTAGCCTCAGCCCTCAATTACTTACTGATCTTAACCGTCCATCGGGATCCCAAGTTCAAAAGACTGTCCTCACTGCCTCCCGGGATAACGATTACCTTGACGTCCCTCCAGATACACTCAACGCGCTCTCCCCAGCCTCCTCGGGTCAAGCCGATACCGCCCATTATCTGTATCACCTCGCTCGCAACAGTCTCGAGAACAATACCAGAATAAGCCTTTAACTGAGCGGTTATACCAGCTAGGAGGAGGACGCCCTCCTCGAGCGTAGGCTTAGGTAGCTGGAAAATTACACTCTAACAGACTGATCAGCCGATAACCTGCTGGGTAAATTAGCACTTAAACTACTTACCTCAACCCACAACTGCAAGGCCTCGGTCTCCCAACTCATATTAGCCATCTTAAGCCGAATAACCGCTGTTAGTATAGTCAGAGTGTCGGGTACCACCGGCTGGATAGGTATCAACTCACAATAATCAATAAGCTTCTTTCCAAACACCCCCCGGTTCATAGCGTAACTAGATAGACTATTAGCAAGCTGCATACATCGGAATATAAGTATACAGACCTTATAGAGTCCTCCAGACATACCCTTACACATCTAAGAGCCTGAAAGACAACATAGAGAGTCACTGATCTGCATTAGTAATAGTTTCTGTACAATCTTATAGAGACAAGCATACCTCATGATTAAAGTTAGACATAATATACCTAAACCCTTGCCCACACTGTCCAACCACCATATTCATAGGGACCTTCACATTATCAAAGTCCACAAAGGCCGTGCCAGCAGCCGTCAATCCAGAGAGTGTTATATGCTTAGTCATCAGCCCCTCTCTCCGCTGAACCACCAGCAACATATACTCGCCGGTCATTTCCTTAACGAGCGTCACAAGGTAGTCCGAGTACATGCCCGAGGTGATCCACTGCCTCGGTTTGGCTGAAAATCTATAGTTTAGCATAAGAGGAGGATAGGCACCTTCTTCTCCCCATCGACCACAAGGTGGGACCCGTCGTCCGAGACTCTTACTTCTGTCTGCACACCCTTTACATCGGAGCCGGCTCCAGGTTCCATAATTGCCAGTACCAACTTAGAGCAGCCGGACAGGATCTCGGGTATAACACTAAAGCCTTCAATATGAGCGGATAGACAGGGTTCGGATATTATAACTTACTCACATCTCATAACTTACTCACATATCATAACTTACTCACATATCTTTGATCTTCTGCAAGCCATACTTCTAAAGAGCGGGCACAGCTAAACTCTTAAGGAGGTTAGATTGGAGACTCTGCTCTCAGAATCTATAAGCTTACCTTGCCACCAACCAAGCCATTTTCGATTCTACAAGCGAGTCAGCGCCTTATAACTCGGTGGTCAAGGCTCACATACCCGATTCCGCCGACTCGACCGAACTCGTCGTGGATGATCAGGCCATGGAATCCATTCCACTCTTCAGGAGCCACGTTGCCTATGATAGGGTATGTCCCTCTCCATTCCTGAGGAATCTCGGGCCCGGCCGCCATGGGCATCACCACGCCGTCCTCGGCTGCCTTCTTGTATAGGTAATTTGGCAACATTTGCGAAGCCTTCCATTCCATCGTGTGTGGCATCAGGTTCTACACCACACAGAGTCAGCATTGCTGGGGTTTAATTGATGATAGCGTGGTCACGCCATCAACCCAAGATCTCATTGCTGCCCGCAGTCGCCGGTGGCTCTCGTTGTAATACGGGCTGGGACAGCCACGGGCCCAGGCGGGCTCGGCCTAGGGAGCTTTCGACCCAAACTGCCATTTGGCTTTGACTTCGTCTGATAGCACAACCATGTTGGAGCGAAATAGTGTCTGTTGGCGGAGGATGGCTGATCATCTAACTGAAAAAGATGGCAGAGGTTCACAGGGAAGGGGGGGATCCTACTTCTTCTGCACAGCATGACCTCCAGCGGCTCAATTATAGCAGCTGGTAGTCACACTACACCAGTACATGCTGTTTTGTGGCGGGTGAGGCCTGGGTTGCCGAGGGATACCCGGGTTGTCGATGGTTTTTACCGAGGGCGGCTTGACGGGTTCGGAACCTCTCTGCCCTGAAAGACGCCGATAGCACGAAGTTGTACTCCGTACATCCACCACAGTCCAAGATGGCGAGACTTAGGGGTTCATCCAGAAGAGCGCTCCAATAGGGACGGCTGGCCAAACGTAGCTGATGTTGTATAGTGCCCAGATGAGCCCACCGTCCATCATGACGACTGGATGAGCCTTGCGTAGGATGTGATTATTGTGATACCGGTTGCTGAGAAGCCAGAAGATGACTACCGCAAACATGCCTAGAGGGAAGCCGACGAGAGTCTCAGCATACTGTCTGCCGAGCCCCAACCTATCCGAGTTAGGTGTAACCTGCGAACGGTTCGAGAAGTGGTAATAGTACCCCGGATACAGGATATTTGGATCTGACAGCTTTACCCCGGAATGATGTGGTATTTGTCATGCATAGCTATCTGTGTTGGGAATCCTTAACGCCACATATTACTCCCGTTGGTAAGATCAATCATCAATGGGTAAGGAGCAACATGCCCGCTGGCACACCCCCAGTGCAGCATCATAATCGAACTCCTGGATTACTCAGCAATCTCTCCGCATCCAACTTACAAACATATCATCCCCTTTCCAAGAAAGCCGTATGAAATGGCACAGCCAAAGACCAGCATGGGCACCAGAACCAACACATCACCGAGCGTGCTCTGTCCGTCAACACTGGGGAGGGCTGCACGAGCAAGCACAGGCCGTTGATTCACTCGCAACCACGACCCCGCGAGGTCTCTTCCTCGAATGCAACGGTACACATCCAAGCTTATCTGGTGGCGTTTGGCGATTCGTGTCCATGGAGCTTGTGATAAGTGAAGTCCGGGGAAATAAGAATCGCACCTGATGCTTGAACCACTTCGGGAGTGTGCTGAGCGCCAGCTGTCGCGAGAGGAGGATGTCTGCAAACCCAAAAGTGGTTAGCTGTGAGAGCGCCACGGCAGCCATAATCCTCTCATCCTTGACTCTGGGGACACGCATGGCGATATTGGTTTGGTGTTCCCCCGCCGGGGTAAGAATCCAGACTACCCATGATACTTCCCCGGACTTTCCCGCATTTGAGTGTCCCTCTCGTGAGAAGTAGAGTTGTCACACCACGTAGCTGAAGACTTGGTCTGGCGAGTCTGCTACATATATATGCGGGCCCTTAGATCTTCCAGTTCTGTCAACTCGGCGTCCTCTCATCTTCCCCATTAAGACCACCGCAGACATGCACCATAGCAACCCGGCATCAACCGACCAGGCGTCGGACAAACCGGAGGCTTACCACCATGGGGAGCTCCAGCCTTCCACGGTTGAGGAGGAAGCTTCTTCAAGCCGAGTTGATCCCAAGGCAATCATCGCGATGATCGTTAGTTTCCTCCAAGACGCCACTCCCTCACCAGGCTAATCCACAGGTCCGCAGGCCATCAACTTCATCGTGTTTGCCCAGATCATCTCTATCATCGGGTCCGGAATGCTCGCTGTCCAGATGATAGGTCTCCTGGGGGACCCTTCCAAGGCAACATGGCTCAGCACCTGTCTCACCATCTTCACGCTCGTACTCAGCCCGCCACTGACCCAGGCGGCTGACTACTGGGGTCGCAAGTGGATTATGGTAGTGAGCTCAGTCGGTGGCTTCGTCGGGCCCCTGATCATCTCGAGATCGAGCAATGTCAATATGCTCCTTGCCGGATTCTGCATTCTAGGCTTTGCCTGTGGCTGCCAGGCCTTCTTTTACCTGATCCCCTCTGAGATCCTGCCTCGGCGCTATAGGCCTGCCGCCCAGGCGTCGCTCAACATCAGCACCGGCTCGGGGCGGTGACGGCTATCCTCATGGCTGGAGCCCTGGTCCGCAACGGCAACTTTGAGAACTACCGCATCCACTGGTATGTTGTCACTGGCCTGTACTTCTTCGCAGTCCTCGGACTGATCGTGGGCAACAACCCTCCGCCTCGCGCACTTCAGCTGTCCCTCACGACCCGGGAGAAGCTCCGCCGGCTCGACTGGTTCGGCTTTGTTTTGCTCCCAGTAGGATCTATTCTCTTCTGTGTTGCTCTGCAGTGGTCCAGGAACCCGTACGACTGGGACGACGCGCACATCTTGGCCCCGTTCATTGTCTCTGTCGTCATTATCTTCGTATTTGCCGTGTACGAATGGCGATTCAAGAGCGACGGAATCCTACACAGCGAGCTCTTTCGCAGCAAGAACTTTGCAATTGCCCTCTTTGCTGTCTTCATCGAGGGCGTGGCCTTCTTCGCCTGCAACAGCTACATGAGCTTAGAGGTCCAAGTCCTACGGCAATTGTCGTCGTTCTCTGCTGGACTTCGTTTTGTGATTTTGTTCGTGGCTCGTCGGCGCTGTCGTCACTGGGCTCTATACGATATACACGAAGCGACCTCGAGATTCACTGATTGTTGGATTCGTGCTCTTGGCAATCTTCAACAGCCTCATGGCGGCTGTGAAGACCAGCACCTCCAGCGGCGTCTTCTGGGGGTACCCTGTCCTGGGTGGCCTTGGACTTGGCTTCCTGCTCACCAACCTGGCCGTCATCATCCAGATGAGTACGCCCAGGGAGATGATTAGCCTGACAACCGGCATCTTTACTGCATGCAGAGGCCTTAGGGCAACCGTTGGCCTGGCCATGAACACGGCCATCTTCAACGATGCCATGTCGGCAAACCTTGTCCCAAAGATTAGTGCGGCCGTCATTCCCCTGGGCTTTTCACCTGAGCAACTGCCAACCTTGCTCCAGGCTCTCAGCTCGGGGGACCCTTCGACCATGATGATGGTGCCGGGCATGACTCCGGAGATTGCCATGGTCGCGGCTGAAGCCCCGAAGGAGGTGTATGTTCTCTCATTCCGAAACGTCTGGATTGCCTCGGCAGCCTTTTCTGGCCTTGGTATTATCAGTAAGTACATGAGGGAGTTGAGAAACCAGATGGAACGAACTAACACAGCTTGTCTCTAGTATCTTTCTTCGTGAATAATCTGCAATCCGAGTTTACTCACGAAACCGATGCTCCTATGATTGGAAAGCCACTTGAAAAGAAGGTCAATGTCTAGGGGGTACATGTTGGATGTGCTTCGCGCAGCCAGATTGAAGGTTACTGTTGGCCTACACACTTCAACAGCAATGGTCACTACAGTCCCTCCGGACCCTGTAGCTAGATTGGGCGCTTTCATTTGTGTAATCCTTTTCCAACGTGTGGGTGTTGAGAATGTAAGCTGGGCCCTGGTTCTTTAGCTTAGTGAATCCACTGTCAATGATACATCTACCCGCTGTTCAGCCTCCAGAATTCATCATGCTAATATGGTACTATTACACTGGGTCTGTCTGTTTTGCGTGTTTCGCCCGAAGGCTTACCCCTTAACCTCAACTAATGACAAAAACCTCGACCGTTTTGTCCACACACAACCCGCTTGCTGTACGGTAGCCAACTTTTGTTCTGCCACATATTAGGCGCGCAATCGAGAATGTCTTATCATTGCGTGATATGATCATAGTAACTGAGACCATAGCAGTGAAGAAACTGTGTCACATCCGTCATTTACAATCTCGGCGTATTCAACTGTTTTAGATGAGGAAAAAAAAAAAAAAAACTTGTCACTTCAGCATTCTAGCTAAAAGTCAAGGAAGCAAGACGGACTTTCTACTAAAATGCCACGCGAGAAGGTATACCCATCGTCTATCGGCTTGAAATCTTACAGTAAAAGCTAACTGGCTTGACAAACCAGGAGTTGTGCGGTTTCCAATCTCCCGGATGGACAAGCTCAAAATCGAACGCCAAGATGATCTCAGGAATGAGCTTGTACATTTCCAGAAAGCCAATATTCTTGCCGATACATGTCCCGACGCCTTCGCCTCCTTCAGCTCCTCGCGCAGCTTGACCAGAGTCGCGGGTGAGCGGATCAGGTTGCACAGAATTGCGCTGAGAGAGATGGATGTCGTGTCTGTACCTGCGAGGACGTTGGCGGAGGCGCTGCTCAGGAGGTCTATGTCGGTGATGGTCGAGTCGGGCTGTTGTTGCTCTCGAACCAGCTTGGTCACGAAATCGATGGGTCCTGGCTTTGCGGCTGTTGCACCTTGGCCTTGATGGCTGCTATTTGTTCGTTGATGAACCCATTGAGAGGAAAGGAACCTCCGAGCAGTGTGTGCACGGGAAGGAATAAACCCATCACGGCGATTTATTGGTTCGCGGCGTCGATGATGTTGATGTAGCCGTTGGTGTCCTCTCCAGCATCCAGAAAGCCGAACCGTTTTGAGAACTATCACCGGCGTGTTAGACATGTTCGAGTATCAGTGGCAGGGGTGGCGATATGGACGTACTGTGATCAGGCCGATCATGTCAAAGGCATATAACTGGAACCATCCGCCCATGTTAGCCGGCTGTTCGGCAACAGCCAGCTCGGACAATCAAGCCTTGAAGATGTTTGTGCAGTCATCGACGTGAGCTTCGTACCCGACCAGGCTGCTCATCGCATATGGTTTGGCGATTCTTTGTTGATCGCGGCCGTGGGTTCGCGGATCCAGGATGTTGAACAGGTTTGGCCAATTGGCGTGGCCCCAAGGCAGATCCGGTCGCCCTACCACGGTTAATGTTGACAATTCACATGTGAGCCCACAGGCGAGTGAGTACCTTGTGGAACTTTGATCCGTGGCCGGACAGGACCTTGATAGCGGAAGGGTCGTTTATGCTGTATCTGTTTGGTGCGACACGCACAACAGGGCCTAAGTTACATCTTGGAAGAATAAGTCAATGGACTAGTCTTTGCACTCACCATACTTCTCATGCAGTGTAATATTTGTCTGCTCATAGTGTCCGGCACAGTACTGCTTGGCAAGCCAGAGCTTGGTGAATCGAGCTAGGAATGGGCCTGGGATATCTCCGAGGGGATTTGAACGAGCAAGGTCGAGGTAGAAAGCGAGCAAGCCAACAGTGAAAGCAGAAATCAACTCAGCCTTATTGGCCAAGGCAAAGGCAAGGACTTTCCCCACTCGCAGTTCCGCCATGGAGAGAATGAATAATGAAACCAGGTCATCAGAATTTCAGGCCTACTGTGAACGGTTTGGGGCACTCGAACAGCTGTGCCCTCGAGCTAGATGAATACATATCGCCAGCGTCTTCTCTATGTCACCTGGATTCCACGGACTGCAAAGCTGGCCCTGCCATGGAAACGGGCATCTAGATGTGCCCGATGCCGTTGGGACGAATGCGGGAAACTCTTGGCAATCTGGGGAGAGATACTCTCCTTCCCTCATGGGGTTTAGAGTCCCTTGCTGGATTTCTTGCGCCTGGCACTGCCACTATTTCCGGGGGTCTTCCTGCCAGGCCGCCAAGTTCCCCGGAACTGGACGCCACTCCCTTGGCACGTAGGAACGATTTATCCGTGCGGCTGCGTATCTGAATCTGGACCTGGAGAGGCAGACGACGCCGCGTATTCTACCCCCGAAGGCCGTGATGAACCCGGGTGGAGCGTTGCTGGAGGGAGCTGATGCCCGCCACTCGTGGGGTTACCGTGGATTAATAAAGGCGGCCACTATTAGCCACGGGTGGTTCGATCAGGCGATGGGAGATGGACCCCTTTGCGGCGGACATCGTACTATGATTGTAGTGTATTAAACGTGTTTACAAGCAGCTCGTCTGCTGATCGCATCATCTCCTCAAAGAGCGTCCTCAACGCCAGTGATAACTTACGAGGGTGCATATGTCGCTCCAGATGAATCTTGGCAGCACGGAAGTACTCGAGATCGCCCCGAGCTGTTATCCGACGCGGATTGATCATGATATTCCGGTACAGCACAGACAGGGTGATGATGCAGCTGTGGGTATGAAGACTGACGCTTGTGTTAGCTTCTGTAATGACACATGGACACCGCCTCGGATGCCGGGACTTTGTGTAAGGGACCTACGTGATGGAGAAAAGCTTGGCGTCCTCATACTCATTTGCAAAACTGTGGGGCTAATTAGAGACTGAATGAACGGCCTTCCAGTGAATGGATGTCTGCTGACCTGTTCAAGACATCGACAAATGACCTTGCGGCCGAGACACAAATGTTCTCGCTGGCCTGGATGCGGATGCTCTCATGGGAGGACCGGATCTCGGGATTCTTGCTCGTTGACAGCACCATGGCCCAGTGGATGGTGCACATGGTCAGGAAGTACTCGAGATGAAGTAGCCCAATGAAGCGATGGACTGCCCGGGGCGCTAGGAGCGCCTGACCCGGCCGTATCTCCAGCGGAACCTCCTCGTGCCACCGAACAAGTGTGTTGTCCAGAGCCACCAGCGCCTCCAAGCGGGAACGCACCGTCTCGCTTCGCTGGACGACGGAGCAATACTGATGCCGGATGACGGCCAGCTTAAGGTTCCAGTGGAAAACACTGACGATGATGCCCCCATCGGAGCCAGAGGGCACGTCTCCGATGCCGAGAGGGAGCGAGTCGTGATCGGACATTGTGTGGGACAGGCTCGTCGGCCTGCCCTCGACGGCGGAGAGGAATGCGTCCAGCGAGAACGTGACCCACCACAGGTGCGAGCGAAGGGAGACTTCCTGTTCCGTCAGGTTGAACCTTGTCGGACTCCGGCGGTGGAGGCCCAGCGACTGTGCTATGCGGCTAGCTAGGCCACAGATGACCCAGGCAAAGCTCTCTCTGCCCATCTGAAGCTGAAGAATGACCTAGGAAGAGGGGGGTCAGCGCGGCGCTTGGTGTCTATCACCCAGGCAGGGGAGGCATACGTGAAGGAGCAGAATCTGGACGGACTGGATATAGGGCGTGCCGACAACCTCGTCCAGGAATGCCCAGGCCTGCCAGTAGAGCTTCAGCACCGACTCTTCCAGGTCGGTCAGCCCGCGGCCGCAGGGGTCGCTGAGGATCCCGATAGCGACAACGAGGGAGAGTGCCGAAAATGCAATGTGATCTAGCTCGCTGATATCCTTCGTATAAAGAGACTGCCAGTTTTCGAGAAACAGCGGGCGATCGACAATGGGATAGATGGGGTGGACGTTCTCAAAATAAGCTGTGTATGCGCAAAACAATCAGCATCTGGCCCACGCCTGTCCATCTTCATCTTCGACATCACCACAGAGACGTGCTCAACTATACCTTGGATTCCAAACTCGGCAAGTTGCTTCTCCGGCAGTTCCTTCAGCATGCTCGACCCGATACCGGGGACATTCGACTGGTTGATATGCGGCCCTGCATCAAAGAGGAATCGGATATGGTCGAGTGAGCCTAAGCCCTGTGATCTCGCGAGGCAGTCCTTTAGACATACAGCCAGCGTTGACCCGGCAGAGTGGAGGCCTAGGCGGAGAGATTAGTCCCACGAGATCATGCAGCAAGATGGCAGCACACACCGATGAAGCTGTTGGCCCTGAGATCCTTGCCGATGAACAGACCCAGCGGGATCCTCGGGCAGGTGGTGCTTTCGTTTGAGTCTCCGAACAATGAGAAGATGCCTGGCGCTGTTGTGTCTAGGGATAGCGGCGACGGCCGCTGCAGGCCTAGTATGTTGGATTCGAGGGCTGTGGGCAAGGGTCAGCAGCGGCGGCGGCGGCGCAGGAACAACGTCTGCTCTCTTGGGGATATTCGCTACATTACGCACGGGAGGTGTAATAGGGGTGGACGTGGGCGTCGAGATCCCAGAAGTCCATGGGAACCTCCATGTCCAGGCCCTGAAGCAGCGATGCGTACTCCGCCTGCATCACGGGCGGGCCTGCCGGATCTAACAGGGTCGGCTGAGGAGAGAAGCCTACGGTACCCAGCGAGTCAAGGTGCAGATGAGAAGACTCACTCATGGCATTGCTGGGCGTCAAGACCGGTGCCGGCTCGGGCGACTCCGCAGCGACTCGGTTCGGAGCCGGCTCTATCTCGGCGCCGGACTTGTCGCCAGAGACAGAGTCCGACACGGCGCTGTCGCCGGCGTCTGACATTTGGACAGACCGCGTCTCTTGGTCTTGGACCTGTCCATTCTCTTGCGTTTGCTGCTCGCCTCTTCCTCCATCCCGGCTCCTGTTGGATCCATTCGCCGCCTGACCTCGCTTCTTGCGCTCCGTGTAAACACAATCGGCATTGTACAGTTGGCAGTTAAAGCATGGACGCTGCTCGGGGGTGCACTTAAGCTACAGTGTGTTCCGGTATATGTCAGACTCAGCAGCCCGCCTTGTATTTTCAGGAAATGGACGCTGGTTCTTACCCTCTTCTTCCTGCAGTACTCACACGCCCGACCTGCCCGGCGCTGCACCCGAGGCTGCGCTGTCTGGGCTCCAAGCGCTTTCGGGCTCATCATTCTGGGTCAGGTTGTTGGTTGATCGAGACAGACGGGCTATCGAGGGCAAAGCTGGATCTACATAGTATTTGGAATGAAAAAAGTCTGATGGCAGACACACAAGCTCGTTGAGCCATCGCCACCGGTTCCGGGGAAGTGAAGGATGGATGGTAGCCCATCCCACCCTGATCCGGGGAACCCTGTTCGAGGGCCACCGGTCTGGGCTTGTCAACCTGCAAGCTTCAGGTGGGTTGCACAGACAGACCCTTGAACTTATGGGTAAAAGTTGCAACCCTAGTCAACCGAACACCCCCTCAACCGAACACTTTTTTCCCCATCCACATTCCCGTCACCTTCATTCAATTTTACGTGATATCTTCACCAATTTTTATCCAATTCAATTCATTTATATATGATTGAAATCACAATGAAAAACTACACAGAAGACTCACTTCAACGGGCGATTTCGGCCACTGGGCAACTTTACCCCTTTTTCATGCCCCATCGTCAATATTCCTGGCTCAGCGCCCGACGCAATGTAGTGGCCAAGAGTGGCCGCATGATCCGATTCAGGTCTAGTCTAGGCATCTAAGTTAGCATGTATGCTTTGAGTAGCCCCGGCCTACTTGCGGGGGAAGCGGGGGAACACCCACCGAGGAGACTAAAAGACTTAGCTGCAGAACTTCTGCGCCGCTGCCGCCGCCATCTCCTGGAGGGCCACCGGCGCATCCGACTCCCCCAGTATCAGTTCCACAATGGCGAGGCCCTGTCCCTTTATAATGACAGGGTCGCGGAGAACCGCAGTCAGTTCCTTCCACGTGGATGCGCGTCGGGCGATGACGGGATACGATTCCTCGTCCTGCGGTGCGCCAAAGTAGTCAGCCGTCCGGAGGTACTGCCAGGGCGCAATGTTGTTGTACTCGGCTTCCATGCCGTGGATCCAACGCTCTACCGTGTATCCGTTGTTGTTCAGGACAAAGATGATGACGTTCAACCTCGCCCGGATCATGTCGCTAACCGACTGGACCGTCATCTGGAAGCTGCCGTCTCCCTCGAACAAGATGGTCCGGCCGGCCGGCCGCTTCGCTGCCGTTGCAATGTCGTGCTCCGCCGCCGAGGCGCCTGCCGCCGCGGGCAATGCGAAGCCGATCGAGAGCCAGAGCGGAGATGTTATGTAGCTGCATCGGGCAGGGAGTCTCAAGGCGCTGGACCCTATTGAGCTTGTTCCCGTGTCGGCAAGCACGATGTCTCCTTCAGCCAGATGTGGCGAAATGAACTTCCAGAGCTCCTGGTGATGCAACGCGCCGCTGGCATCTGGGCTTACCATGGGCGACGACTTAGTCACGCTCGACAATAGCGGTGAAGTGCTATCAGTAGTCTGCGACTTGAGCTTGGCAGGGTCGAGACGGCCAAGCATGGCTTGGAGGAGCTGCTTCATCGGGACGTTGAGGATGGTCTTAATCTCATCCTGGCTACCGAATTCAACGTGGTCTTTGTGGATCGCGATCGTCAACGCCGGATCGGGCTTGGTGGTGAAGCCGAAGGTATTCGAGTCGCAAAAGAGCGGGCCAAGAGCCAGCACGAGGTCACAATGCTGAACCCACGAGTGCAGCGACTGATCGCCCGTCGTACCAGCATAAACTCCGTAGTAGTTTGGCGGCCGGTCCACCAGGACGCTCTTCCCAAAGGCGGTTGAGCAGGTCGGGATCCCCAGCGCACGGGTCAGCTCTCCGGCCTCCTCCCGGGAGTTGTACCTGGTGAGCAGTCCGTCGAGCAAAAGGAAGGGCTGCCGAGCGGCATACAGACGGTCTAGAATAACGGCGGCTGCCGCCTCCAGGGCCTGGTCATTGGGGCTCCTCGGCACGGTCAGGTCAATGGCATTCTCGAGTCGTGAGCCGGGGACTTGAGTCTTGACCATGTCCGTCGGGAGCTCGATGTAGACTGGGCGGCTGTGCAGCTTGCACATCCTGAGGACTCGGTCGACGTCATCAGGTGCTGTGTCACGGTTGCAAAGGTTGGCCTGTGCGACAACTACGTGCTGTGCCATCTTCGCAAAGCGGCGGAAGTCGCCATCCCCCATGGTATGATGAAGAAATGCACCCGATGACTGCGCGGTTGTCGGGGGCGTGCCGGTGATATGCACCACCGGTGAGCGCTCGGCGTAGGCGCCGGCGATGGCGTTGATGGCCGACAGCTCTCCCACCCCAGAGGTTGTTATCAGGGCGCCGATTCCCTTGACTCGGGCATACGCGTCGACTGCATAGCCGGCATTCAGTTCGTTCGAATTACCAGCCCAGTGAAGACCCAGGGGTTCGATATAGTCCAGCGCACAGAGATTGTAGTCTCCCGGGACACCATGGACCGTGTTGACACCAAGCTGTTTGAGTCGCAACCAGAGATACTCTGCGAGGTCGATCGTGTCTGTCATGGTTGAAGCAGCGGCGATGTTGAAACGGCAATGATCTGGGAAGATGCGCCCTGAATTGCTCGATCCGTATGCCTCAATTTGTAACAAGAGCAGAACTATCACTACTGGGATCAAAATGGTTTCTTCATTACTATTCTGACTGTCTTTTCTGTTGCTGATTGAAGGATGTGTGGATATCTGCTTCCGGGGACCTTGCAAGTTCCTCATCTTCCGGGGATAATTTCGTCTACGCCCGTGTTGGACGATACACAGGCCATCAGCCATCGAGCTCGGCCTCGTAGAACATTAGGCGTAGGGAAGCCTGGGGTGTGTCTTGGCTTTCTTGCAAGCTGCGCCGCGCTGTCAGAACACACCTGTCAGGTGTCTGTTACATGTGAGATAATCAAATCGCCTGGAACATCTTCTCAGCGGACTCATTCACTACACGTAGTCGTCATGTTCGATGTCAAAGTGCAAAGGTTTGAATTGATATGTATACTCTAGCACAGACAATCCAGATAATGAATGTTATGGTCTAATTATGAGCACTACCCTCAGGCTACCCCTTCATACACTTTTCCAAAAGCTCGTTGACCTCGCTGATGGTAGTGGCCCGTCCCAGAATGTGCTGGTCAGGCCGGATTACCGCCAGACCCCGACCTTCTTGGAGATCTATCGCCTTGGACCAGCTTCCATCGTCGTCAAAAATGTCGCGGTTGAGCTGCAAGGGAGTGACGGGGATGCCGCTGGGCGCCATCAGCTCGCTGGGAAAGTCTGGATAGTCGGCTGCCGCAAAGACAACAAAGGTGAAGCCACTGACCAAGTCCAGGGTCGACTGGACTTTGCCATCACGCCTGATCCAGCCATGCGGTAGCCTTCCTCCTGTGACACATCGGGGCTTGAAGTGGCAGCCACCAGCAGGGATATCCTCGTCTGATCCATAGACATATCCAATCTGTAGGTTTAGGTGGTCTTTTAAGTGCACATTGTTCGTGATGACGTCGACGATCTTTCGCCTCTTCTCGGGATCCTGGTATTGTGTCTGAGGATCCGCTCCCATCGTGGTTGATATAGTGCGGGATATGTCCATGACATCGAACTGGTTTCGATCACTCTGCTTGAGATTCGCCTCGGCTATGGGCCGCCTCTCGCGCGAGTAGCTATCCATTAGAGAGTCGGCGTTCTCTGTCCAACCGCTCTCGATGGTGTAGATCTTCCAGGTCAGGTTGTGTGAATCGGCTACGCCCGTATTCAGTCCAAGCCCACCGGCGTTGGGGAATACGTGCGCTGCATCCCCCAGCAGAAAGGCCCTGGGGAATCTCTTCGACCGATAATATGATGCAATGCGAAGATGGGCCGTCCACGGTACAATCCTAACGATTTCATATTCTGTCTTTTCGCCAACAGCCTAGTGGTTTTGCAGGTCAGCAATGTTTCTTTATTTCGACGGGCTGCGGAGCTTCTCACAGTATCGATGAGCGTTCGGCAGTATGCCGATGTGAACTTCTCAATGGGGCTGTTGTCCATGTTCGCAAACATGAAAACCCAACACGACGCACGATCATAGGCAATAAAAGTCTTAATGTCATTTGCCGTCGCGACGATCCATAGCATTCCGCTCTTGTATTTCCTCCAATCGGCACGGATCTCGACCGACACATATGTCATCTCAGTTGGAAACGGGCTGCTTGGGACCTCCATTGGGATATCCAGTGCCACACGAGCTCGAGAGTGCGCGCCATTGCACGCCAGAAGGTACTTGCTCTCTATCGAGACCGACTTCTCCGTGTCCAGGTTGATGGCCACAGAGTGAGTGTTGCCATCTTGCACCTCGGTGCAGCTCTGCCATTGCCAACCCCGGTAAACGGTGGTCAGTCCGGTGCGCTGAGCAGTGTGCAGAAGAGCAGCCTCCAGCTTGGGCTGGGCGATGTTCATGAACGGCTCCGGGGTGACACTCTTGACGCCCTTGTCCTGGCGCTCGTATTCGAAGTTGCCGTACTCGATACCAACCAGGGACTCAACCCACCGCACGACGTCGGCGTCGGCGGGGGAGGCGCCGAGGACTCTGATGGCATCTGTGGAGATGCCGGCCTGGCGGAAGATCTCCATCGTCCGAGGATTTATCGCATGGGCTTTCGGCTGGTCTGTCCGAACCTTCTGCCGCTCCAGCACTACGCTGCGGAGGCCATAACGGGCGAGGAAGATGGCTGTTGCCAGTCCTACCGGGCCTGCTCCTATGATGAGGGCGAATGTCTTGCTTGGAGGATCGGCGGTACTGGTTGCACTATCCATGCTGTGCTGCTGACAATGGCCTGCCTGGGGGAGCAAATGGGGTGTCGATGCAACGTGAAGATTCTGCGTTGCTCTATGGGCCTCGGTTATATACAGAGCTTGCTAGTGGTATGACAATATGTTGGAAATAAATCCTGTTTAAATGCATTTACACTATAAGATAGATATACGCTGGGAACTAAAGAGCGAAAATACCCGCCTATTCTGAATAACTATTCAACTTGGCTAAAACTCCTAGTTTATCCAGCCCCGGAAGTACGTGATTAGAGGACAACTACAGAGTATCGCCAATGGGGAACAGGGATATCGTGTTTGCTGCGGATTTGGGCAGGATATATCCCCGGGAAACCACAATGTTACGAATACGCCCCGGATATTTTATAGATTGGATGTAGGCTGGAGGCCCTAGCTCCCTTCAATGCCGCGGAACTAGGACAGAAGTTCAATCGCGCTAAGAATTGAATCCGCGGTATGGTATATACCGATTGTATACTCTTTCTCAATCACATATACCGTCGTTTCCAAGAGCCGTCTGAACTATCCAATCCTGACGAACAAGCTCAACTGCCAGATCAGCCATCATGAGCTCGACAATTTATGACTCGGCTGACTTTCACGGCAAGTTTACAGCCGCAAACGTGACGTCTGATAGTACTCAGTACGATCATGCATACATACTCTTGCTTCAGGTCAAGCTAAGCGAGGCCGGCTCAGAGAGCGGCATTCCTGGTAATTCCATCTCGCTCATAGTACGTCTTGTTTCACTGGTCAGCACTCAAGGACAAGGTATCAATCTGACAGCGCAGTGTGCCATCTTCTGTGGCTTGAAACGGCCGGATCTCATCAGCGCCTATTTCCATGAACTGACACAGGGCGAGACGGACGAGTCCAAGCTCAAAATCTACTTTCACATGAGAGAATCGATGAATGTCGTCTGGCCATTTGTTGGGCTGCCCAATGTCATCAGCGCTTGTTACGGCCTTTTCGATGAATTGCGCAAGCTAGGGTTGGAACCGCCCGCTGAGGTGAAAAGGTCTGTCTCGTATTTCCCCCGTCTCGTCTTGGAGTATCTCACGCTCACAAGCCCTGTAATCCAGACCTGGTCTGGGAGAAATGGACTGGGTCAAGATCGGTGACCAAAACCGCCGGGCGATCTATAAAGGTTCGAACAACATCGATGGAATTGCTATGCTAGAGAAGTACTTTCCTACTCTCAGTAAGTAGCTATTCACCATATGTGCTTCCTGCTGCAGGACTTCAAAGCTAACGTGCACCATCAGACTTCCTAGGCGGAGCAGTTGTACAGGGATACCTTCAGTACGGTGCCGGGGAGCCTGATTCCCTGCCTCAGACAGAACTATTGGTAGCTGCTGCGATCACAGCGTCAGGGGTGCGCCGGCAGTCGCGAACTCATTGCCAGTCGGCGCTTGGACTTGGATGCACCGTGGAGAAGGTTCAGGCTGTTGTCGATGTTGCAGCTGCACTGGCAAACTGGAACAAGACGCCGCTTGGCTCTGATTTTGATATCAACGCATTGTCAGCTGAGACTGCGGCAAACGTGGAAAAAAGAAAGACTTAGAGGCGATTATGTCAATATTTACACTCTGGAAGACGAATACCATTCCTTCGACTGGACTTTCTATCAGTGAGGTACAGTATGACCGAAAGGACGTGCGCCGATCTATGCTCAAGGGATAGATGATTTGGCTTGTAAAGGTTTCGTGCTTTCTGTCAAACTTTGACGAGGGAGTTTGACTGCGCATTAAAGCCCTTGATTTCTAACTAAATGAATGACTGAAATTGGTCTTGTTTTATAAGCCTAATCAATATTGCCACCTTCTACTGGTGTCCTCCTCGGCTTCCCCTAAGCAATGGGGTGCTTCAACACGAATTTGCCAAATCCAGCCTTTCCTTTGGCAACGGCTTTCAAGATCTCAATGACCTCAGAAGAGCTCTTTTTGTCCTCCAGCACATGGACGTTCGGGATCCTGAACTTGGTACCGTAGTTTTCGATAGCCCAGAGCAAGGCCTTTTGACCTCGCTGAGCCTCCTCAGGCTTTGAGGGAACGGTGATTTCACCGCCGGCAGGGGTTCGTATCGTAGCACTTGTTTCCTTGGCGGCGTACACCGAAGGGTAATTCGGGTGCGCCCGTGCAGCAACGACTTTGGCCAAAGGCCCGACACACGCGGCAGCCAAATCCGCCGTTGGTGGATCCGAGGAACCGACAGTCTCGAAAGCCCATGCGATTGTCGTGCCCTGCTCAGACACGTAATTCTCAATGACTGCCTTCACATTGTCGTCCTTGTAGTCAAAGCATGCCGTGGCACCGAGCTGCACCAGCGTCTCGTGGTTCTTCGGGGAGGCCGTCACGATGACGGGGTGTACTCCAATGGCCTTTGCCAGCTGGATAGCGCAAATTCCCATGCTCGTCGTTCCACCCCAGACGAGCAGGCCACCTGCCGGGACCGACTGTTGCTCGCCGGGGAGAGGCAGTCCGAGGTGAACAAAAAGCCCGTCGGCAGCGGAGCGGACGGCGACTTTCAGACACGCGGCGTGCTCCGGCGGGAGATGCGCAGGTACCTTGAACGCGTACTCGTTCGCCGGATAGGTAATGAAGTTTTGGTGAGTCCCGTACTTGTCTGGTCTCCCAACACCTGATGGGGTTGAACCGGCGATGACCTCGCCCACGCCGAATGGGAACCCCGGACCGGCTTTATCGACGACACCGCAGAAGTCGTAGCCTATGACGGTGTCACAGATGCCATATGCCACGTGCTTGGTATCTGCCGGGTTGATGCCGGAATAAAGCACCTTGATACGTGCCTCTCCCTCGTCAGGTTCACGCGATGAAGTGATAGTCCTGACTTCAACGCTCCCATCCTGAAGAATCCACAAACCTCTATTAGGTGTGGACATTTTTAAATGCGAGGGGAAAAGAATGAGCTGTAAACTGGCAGATGGGTGTTGTATAAGAGTGTTGCTAGCACTTGGAGGAGCTGGGTGTTTGCAGCGACTATATACTAGCACAGGTAGGAAGGCGACTCGATTTCGGGGCTAAATTAAAGAGCAACGATTTGCTTCATTCCGTGGAATTTGACAGCTAAATAAGTTTACCTTAGGGAGCGGGTACCCCCACAAGGATGTCGTCGTGTAGATTTTATATTATCCTGCCCGGATCAAATAACTTAGCTGGCAATGCAGCCGAATTTTGTGGATATGTAATTTCCGGTCATACCATAAACATACATTATATATGTAATAGCTCTAAAGGGCCTTTATTTGCTCTTCGAAACTGCTCTATATATTCTTAAACTAGTTCTAGATCAGACTATAAAACACAGCAGCTATCAGATATTATACGTTTCTCAAAGCCCTAGTCAACGTAGTCTCCCAACTACATCATACCTAGGAATAATATCCCACCCCAACATAATCAACTACTTAGCTTGTCGCATCACTACCCAACCTCTAACCGAAAGTCAAAGACCCAGGACCCGGTTGGTTCAAGTCCCAGGAATTCAACTAAGCCCTCGTTTCCCAAAGTCCTGCCTACACCGAAGTTAGACGGCCAATTTTTATCCAAAAGAAAGAACATTCCTGAAGTGGGAGGTCGATGCGACGGAGAGAGGAAAGCATAACGCCGTCGCTAGTTTGTTCAGGAGGCTTCCAGTGATGGTTTAGATGGCCTTTCCCTTTAGCTCAAGCAGTCCAAAGACCCTCTTCTGCTCCAATCTGTATGCTCCCCAGATAATGGCGAAAAGGGCGTAGAAGCAGTAAACCTGGGGTCTTCCAGCCTCCTTGCCACCAAACTCAGGGTCGATGGCCCAGGCATTGGGATACATCTCCCCAGTCATGCCCGTGGTGTAATAAATGCTGCACATGACAGAGGCAAAGTGAATGTCCTTGAGGTAGTTGTCGACGTCGAGCTTCGAAATGCCAAGTTTTCCTGGAGGCTGGGGCGAGCTCTTCCAGAGGTAGAACAGGGTGAGAAGGCCGGTGAAGAGTCCCATGGACAGGGTTTGGCCATTGTGGAAGTGCGCATGGGGAGGCCAGCGAGGATTGAAGACATGGCTCTCATTCCAATCGGCGGCATAGGGCCCGATGATCTCCGTCAGGGCGGCAAGTGAGATCAGGATGCGACCAGCTGTGACGGTTTGAGCCGACATGTTTCGGAACAATGTGTCTGGAGTGCAGAGGTGCCGTGGAGCAAAGGCCGGCTTCAGGTGTAGCACGAAAGATTGGATAGAGTGCTGATTGTTGAATCTATTGAAGTCGAGGGATTCGTACCTGACAAGCGTCACTATTCTGGTATAAATGCCTCTGTCAGCTTGAAGTCTTGATGATTGAATCGTACGATCTAGCCACAATATTGTAAGACTTTCGTCCATGGAACTTGAGCATTTGACTTGGACTGTTGAAAGATGAAACAAGAATGGGCGGGGGGCACCGACACTTGTGGTCATGTGAGGGAGCGCTGGCAATCTTCCCGCATACTTGGCTCTTTATTCCGTGGAAAACTCCCTAGCTCGCACGAACGCTTTGCTGTGGCGGCGTAGACATGACTGAGATGAAGCAACCAATAAGACGGTCCAAGGATAGAGATCCGACTTTACGAGTGATTCACAGCGAAATATTGAATCCCAAAGCCACAATAAAAAGAATAATATATGAAGCTACAACGGGAAGCGACCTGGTTATTGCGATTACCTACGCAAAAACGCCCAGGAAATATGTTGGCTGAGCCGCATTTTCAGTCTTGGGTAGCTCGAAATCGGTCCTACCCTAGACTATTGCACACGGCCGCGTTACAAACGTAGCTAACGCAGGTTACAGGAATGGGCCGGAGTGGCTACCCGGTACCCCGCGGCTCGAGGAGCCAACGGCAAGACCTGATTCTGAAGGAACCAGAACAAGGGGGATGGGTCGGACGCAAGTCACAGGACAGGTCACGTGACAAAACAGGATCACCCGGACGAAGTGATCCAGGAAGTTCCAGAAGTATATAGGAACAGCAGAGACACATCTCAAAACGAGGATTAGTTCCTCAGTGTTCAATCTAAGCATTCTACTACAATTGAATGGGAGCAATACCTCCTGATCCTGGACAGACAACTTACGACAAATCTTACCAAGTAAGGTCGATCGTCACACAACAAGTCTTACCATGTAAGATCGATCGTTACAGCCTACTGTTACAATGATAACAGAGACCTTTCAATTGGGATTTATTATGTTTAAATCCCGATGCCCATACAACGTTTCCTAATCAAGTTGGGGAGTTCATACTATCAGCCTAGCCTTCTAGCTTTAATAGATTAATGCTCCAAGCCTGTCAATTAAGAGAACGGGGCGTGCAGGGCAATAGGAGTATGCGTGACGTAGATCGCACTTCAACCATGACAAAAAGTGGCATTATAGGCTGTCCCTACCAAGGTCGAGCTTCTCGAGAAGGGCTGGATCGGTGGCCGGTACTGGCAGCCATCAGCAAGGCTTGAGCTGCTGATCAATTATTCCCCGGATAATATCTGTCAACTGCCAAGGCCTGTGGGGAACGAATGGGCAGGGTCGGCCCCGCAAGCTGCCAGAATTCTCCTAGCGCGCCAGTCCATTGCTCTCCCCGGAATGATCATGTTGAACTAGGATGATGCCCCGGATTAGGGCGTTTGAGCTCCCCTCATCATCAAAGGCACATGCAGTGCCCCACCACCAGGCTAAAGCCCATGGGTGTGTGAGCCCTCCCTGCTTGCTGTGCACGACTTAAACGCGGTTGCACAACTCTGGAGTGGGGGAATAAAGGTTTGGAATAGTGTGTAGGGTTGATTCGCGGCTGCTCCCTTTGCATATGTCCGCTGGAGCCGGAAACGCATCTCGTCACTCTGCAGCCCTTGAGTCAACAATAGGCCATGTTCAAACTAAGACCAGGAGAGCTTTGACTTTGACGAGTTTCGTAGGGTTTGGAGGAACATGAAAGAACGGTAGAAGGTGGAGTTGGATAGGTAATCGGTGTTTCTATCTTATTTAGATGTACAAATCTCCTAATCTACTTGAACCATGTCCTAATCTACTAATCCAAGTCCGGCTTTGTAAGACTCACGGAATCTACCCAAGCTGCTCCTGATTCCGTTACACGACGTCGACTCCGACCGGACTATAGCTTGGACCGCCGGGGCGTAGTAACGACGTCGGGATAGGGCAAGTCTGACCCAGAGATTGTCGCCAGAGTTCTCCACGCTCCCCCATCAACAACGAGGACGTCTCCGTTGACGAAGTTGCCGCTGTCGGAGAATATGTAGACGGTGGCATCGGCGATATCCTTGACCGTGCCGTATCTCCCTAGCGGGATGCTGCGGGCCTGCCGACCGCTGTTGGACAGCCGGCGGACACCCTCGGTGGACTCAATCGGCCCTGGACTAATGACGTTGCTGGTCACACCGAGGGGCCCGTATTCGATGGCAAGATTGGCCGACAGCGCATCCACACCAGCCTTGGCGACGGCTGCGTGCGTCTGGAGCGGGAAGCCGGTATAATGAAGCGTGGCCGAGATGAATATGATGCGGCCGGAGGTGCCGGACGGGTTGCGCTTGGCGGACCCGACAAGATGAGGCATGGTTGCTTTGGCGGTGTTGACGGAGCCCAGGACGTCGATGTCCATGACGATCTTGAAGGCATTTGTCGAGATGTCGGAGAATGGGGCGAGAAAGTTCCCGGCTGCGCCTGCGCTGGATTGGGCGCCAGATTGTCAGGACTGCAGAAAGCGGCAAGGACGAGGGCAACCTAACTTACATGACGAAGTCAATGGCTCCAAGCTCGGCGACACACTGCTTGACGGCTCGCTGCAGAGACTCGATGCTGCGCACGTCTATTCCCCCGATACCGAGCACTCTGCTCCCCTTCCTCGCCCTTGCAATGTCGGAGGCCACTGACCGGGTCTTTTGCTCGTTGCGCCCGACGATACAGGCATCGACGCCGAGATGGACGAGGGCCCTGACCTGCGCCGAGCAGATGGTGCCGTTTCCGCCTGTGCAGAAGACCACCTGGCCCCGAAAGATGCCGTCCCTCCAGACATTCGACACGTACTGCTCCTTGGGAATGGGCATGTTTGGCGGCTGCTGAGTGGAAGCGCCTTGATCACGCGGGTCTTGCTCGGCGAGCATCGTCGTTTCCAGCACGAGTGCATGACCTGACCTGCTGGGCTTTTGTCTGGATCTGGCTCTCCAACTCGATACTTGGTCTAGGCGCAGCCTCGGCTGCCCCGACACTGCCAGTTGTGCTCGGCGATTTGCCGAGCTTCCGGGGACCGAACCTACTGCGTAGAAAACCAAAAAAAGGGGGAAAAAAAGAGATTAAAGCGGGATGACCTATGTGCTTTCTGGGCCTCGATCCCTTGCTCAAAGTAGTGCGTGGTTCCGTGCAGCAGATGCATAACCGGGCTGTACCAAATTAATACATGGGATAAGATCGGCCAATAAAATGGTTAATGTAATGTGTTGTGATACTGGGTATAGTATCAAGTTGTTAAATTCTTGGTGTTTGGGGATTTCCCCCCCCTTTTTTTAGCAGCTGCATAGCTCTCTCACTTACTACGATAAAATGGTTAATGATTATGAAGACGCTAACAGGGCAAGATGGAAAAGCATGCCCCAGATTCTGCAGGGGCTTTTCCGGGGAACTCTGGTGTCGGCCGACCATGGGCGCTCGAGCCTCTCCAGTAACTTGGACCGGCCGCTATTCTGGCCTCCTTCGAGATAAAGCATTCCAGGCTCCCCAGATGAACACAGACCATTCTGCGCATGATAATGATACAGCCAAAATGGCCCGCTTGCATGTGTTTGTGCTGCTGCCTCTCTTGGTGATTTCCCTGTCAACGGCAGCCTCGGCGGACCTGGCCGAGACGTTCGGCTATCCGTCCTGCGCTGTGAGTTCTCAGCCGCCTCCTCAGCTCAACCCATGGCCCGTCCCTCTATAGTGGTCCAACGCACATGGTACCTTTGCCAGATCTCAGGCACGTATGAATCAAGTGGAGGCCAGCACCGGCTTTATCCATGGAAAAGCTTGCCACGCTCTACGCTAACCGGCCCAGCTTTTCCGGGGACCTTTTGTCAAATATCTTACAGATACTCCCTCACATCTATATACTCAATACTTTCACAGGGATTGATTCTGTGGAAAAGTTGTCGCAAACGTTCCGGGTACTCTGATTCCTTCTTCCACAGCAGTAGCGAAAATCATCATGGGAGTCAGCACTTTCATTCGCTTTCAGGACGATCAAGGCTACAGCCAGTACGGAGAGCCTGCTTTAGAGGACCTTGCAGGAAACTTACTGGGGGCGACAGTTGATGTCTTGGAAGGTAATCCATTCGATGGACTGAGACGAACCGGATTGCAGGGGAAGGTGGGCAAGGTAAGCCTTCATTTCAGCCTGCCACGGAACCTCTTGGGCTAACCCTGGACTGCTAAGGTTCTTTGTCCTCTTACGTCAACTCCAATCATCCTTTGCATTGGCCTCAATTACAAACAGCACGCTGAGGAAACTGGTCTTAGCGTTACCCCAAACCCCGTTCTTTTCACCAAATCTCCCACCGCGCTGTCCGGTATGCGTATTTAGTTCGGACGAACATGAGAGAGTGCTGATATATAAAAGGCCCATATGATGATGTACATGTCCACCCTGATGCGACCCCCATGCTAGACTATGAAGGCGAGCTGGTGGTTGTGATAGGCAAGGAGGCCAAGAACGTCTCAGACGAGGATGCTCTGGATTACGTCTTGGGATACACCATGGGCAATGACATCAGTGCGCGGAACTTCCAGCTGCCTGCCGTCAGTGGTGGCCAGTTCTGCTACGCCAAGTCTTTTGACACATTCGCGCCTATCGGGCCTGCAATCACCACCACAGAGGCTATCCCAGATCCCCAAGACCTGGCGTACATTACCAGGGTCAACGGTGAGCATAGGCAGGCCACGCCGACAAATGATATGATTTGGACGGTCAGGCAGATTATCGCGCACTTGAGCCGAGGAACAACACTCAAAGAGGGCACGGTCATCATGACTGGCACGCCGAGTGGTGAGTACGAGCCGTGCCTCTGAAAGATATGTGCTTACGATGCTCGTGAAGGGGTAGGGTTATTCATGAAACCAAAGGCATTCTTGAGGGACCAGGATATTGTAGAGGTGGTCATGGAAGGTTATGGAGGTCTTAGAAACAAGATTGTATTTGAGTAAGGCATGGATGGATCCTATCTTCGTAGAGCCCCGACTAAGAAAGCTTGAGTTTGCACCTAAAGCAGTGATCCTGCAAGGTGAGCACACTCTATGACGCTGCTTCATGATGTGGTCTGATAATCCACGATGCGGTAGCATTGATCTGCCATATAACTTATCCATCTGTCCAACTTCTGATGTCCAAGTTGTAATGCGTGCCTGACTGGACATGCATGGTCCACGATCTACCGACGACGTCTACATCCCCAACGTGCATCGTTTCTCCAAGACGGACCCGTGCGGCTTCCGGGGAATCAGGTTCGCCCATCCCAGCTTGCAGGGCCACGCCGTGCCATCCCTGTGTTCCCCGGAAGTTTGCAAGATGTGGGACGGGGGGACCAGACCAATCGTTGAGTTGATTCTCTACGGCAGTCTCGAATCGGAATTGCAGTTCTTGAACCGGCCAGGCCTGTCCTGTAGTCCCGATTTCCGGGAGCATGGAGATCATATCCCAATCTTTTATCATGCAGCCAGACGAATGTTTGAGCTAACCAACTTTTTCTTTCTTTTTTTGCCACCATTCGCGTAGCAGTTGCCGCCTCTGTTACTCAGACATCCAACCATGCCCTTCAAGTCGCCCGACTGGGCTCCCCAACTGCAGGGTGATATTCCAGATAATGTCTCCGTAGCCGACTTTATGTTGGATCCAGTGTACGGGAGACACGCTCTGGAGAACTCCCGGCCACCGTTCGTGTGTGGAATCTCAGGAAAGGCACTCTCAACCTTGGCAGTTAAAGACCACGTCGAGCAGCTGGCCAGTGGCTTGGCAAGTGAGTTGGGGTGGAAAGTGGGCCAGGGCAATGCCCTGGACATGGTTGTTTGCATTTACAGTCTCAACACAGTATGTCTACCCCCGAGTCCAATACTGCCAACTTCGCATTTCTGATTACACCCGCAGATCGACTACCTGCCGCTGATCTGGGCCGTTCACCGGCTTGGCGGTGTTGTGGCGCCCGCAAGCTCGGAGTTCTCGGTGTCAGACCTCACGTCGCAACTAAAAGCGTCCAGAACCTCCTGTGTCTTCACCTGCCTGCCTCTGCTCAAGACGGCTATCGCGTCGGCAGCGGCGGCTGGCATTCCCCGGTATAGGGTGTATCTTCTCGAGCTCCCGGAGGTATTCGCCGCCCCTACTCGTGACACCACCGTTTTCAAGAACACCAGTCAGCTGGCGCAGCAGGGTGCCAGGCAGCCAAGACTGGAAGGACTCAAGTGGGCTGAGGGTGCTGCCAAGAAGCAAGTGGCGTTTCTGTGCTATTCAAGCGGCACGTCTGGTCTTCCGGTGCGACAATTCTCGTTGCCACTTGCATTGATGTTACGACTGACCTAGCGACAGAAAGGTGTCATGATATCGCACTACAATGTCGTTGCCAGCATCTGCCAGGTCTGCGCGTTTGAAAGCCCGTGCCGTGAGCTGCTCAGGAAGGCATCAGGCACTCACGTGTACATGGAGAATGTCCTGGGTTTGCTCCCGCTCAGCCACATCTACGGGTTGATCATGATTGCACACTGCGCCGCATGGAGAGGAGACAGCACCGTTATCCTGCCGAAATTCGAGTTGAAGACATTCCTGTGTGCTATTCAGGACCATGAGATCAATACCCTGTTTCTCGTGCCACCCATCATCATTTTCATGATGAACAATCACAAGCTTCTGAGCGAGTATACCCTGGAAAGTGTCAAGGTTGTCTTCACCGGAGCGGCACCCCTCGGATACGAGACAGCACAGCAGCTGTCCAGTTTGTATCCCGGGTGGCTGATCCGGCAGGCATATGCCCTCACCGAGACCTGCGCCGTGGTAAGCTCATCCGCCCACTTTGATACCTGGCTCGGCTCGGCTGGCTCGTTGATCACTGGTGTTGAGGCCCGGATCGTGGACATGGACGGCGCGGAGGTTACCGAGTATGGAAAGACAGGCGAGCTGCTGGTGAAGTCGCCGTCTCTTGTCATGGGCTACCTCAACGACGACAAGGCCAACAGGGAGACCTTTGTAAGTGACGAGAATGGTGATATCTGGATGCGCACGGGCGATGAAGTTGCCATCAACAAGAGCCCCGGCGGACACGAGCACCTTTTCATCGTAGACCGGATTAAGGAACTTATCAAAGTCAAGGTTAGCATTGATCCTTGTCAGTTTATCCACGAACTGGTGTACTGATACAAAATCAGGGTCTTCAGGTTGCTCCGGCCGAGTTGGAGACTCATCTGTTGCTCAGCCCCTTAGTAGAGGATTGTGCTGTCATCGCCGTTCCCGATGATCGAGCTGGCGAGGTGCCCAAGGCGTATGTGGTCAAGGCATCGGGGATACATGGTGACGAAACTGCCAGGCAGGCTATTTTGAAGCATGTGCAAGAGCACAAGAGTCCCCATAAGTGGCTGAAAGGGGGTGTGGAGTTTGTGAAGGAGGTTCCCAAGAGTCCAAGTGGCAAGATCCTGAGGCGAGTTCTAAAATTGAGAGAGCAGGAGAAACGGGAGAAGACACGTGCAAAACTGTAGGAGCAGATGGATTGTGTTGGAACTGTCTCTTTGAAACACCCATTGTACAAGAAACACTAAAGATTTCGATTCCGGTGGAAATGAGCCCTCGAAGAGTATGGCAGTTAATTAGCCTTTAGAGCCTGAAGATTATCTTCAATTAACCTTTTGATATTAAAACCGGACAAAGTCAATAAAGAACGGCCATGGGGTCATGGTGACGGTCACTGATGATTGATATGCCTGTTAACGGGTGTCAGGGGGATTCCAGATATGTCTTAAGTACAGAGAGGTATCATGATCTGCTATTTGCACCTTGATCTCTCTGCGTGAGGTTTCTGTGGTCTGCTTCTCTGAGCGCAATAGCCCCGGAATTAGTACAGGGTAAAGTATCCGGGGAGAGGCTTGGTTCCGAAGACCTCGAGGGTTTTGGCGCCGTTGATTTTGAGCTTGTGCCAGGGTGCCCACCCGGAACCATGTCAGCTCGATGAAACTGGCATGTAACCCAACACAATGTAACCTTGGAAGTGACAGGTCTCTGGGCCTGCTGACGTCTCAGAGCACAGATATCTGACCCATCCCGGGGGACAGGGTCATGGGGACAAAGGAGTGCGGAAAGCATGTTGCCACCATTTGGACTATATCTACTGAAATAAGACACACGGGACATTCCCATGTGCCGAGCTGTAGGATCCCATCATCCACACCGAGAAGCTGTTTCCTACCACGATTGTTGCAAGCAGTACATCCACCGTTGATCGTCTTACATGGGTATCATGACTGAATGCTCAAGCCCGTTGTCACCTAAAGTAAGCGCCAAAAGGCGGGCCACTCGCGCCGGATGCCGCATCTATAGACGTGTAAGTGTAGCGTGCCAACAATGTCGAGCTGGCAGGGTGAGATGCATCATCGAAGAGACGGGGCTGCCATGTACCAACTGCAGGCGCAAAGGGCAACAGTGCGTGGTCAAAGGAAGATCTCCTAGGCGCGAGAAGTCAAGGTACCCGAGCCTTTTCCTCTTGAATTGATAGTACACGCCTAACCCTCAGTCAAGAAAAACCAAGACGGCTCGACGACGCACGACATTGCGCAAACCATCACCTCGGCCAGATGCCCTGAGCCAGCCCAACACTGTGCCTCAACAGGAGCCCAGCATATCGGCTACGAATGCCTGCATGGCTCCCGGGCCCAGTCTTGACGATGTTGATGATGTCACGTTACAGGACCTTGCCACTCCGCTGATATCTTCGACCTCTGAACACCGGCCCCTCTTGATACCTTTCAATCCAAAAGATATCCCCTGCTACGTCAAGCCGCTCCCGCCTAACCTGGGACCCGTTGAGTTGGCTTATTTAAAAGAAAGAGGGGGGTTTAGCATCCCCGAAGACAGCTTTCGCGATGGGCTGATTCAGGTTTACATTGAGTACGTGTATCCGCATTTGCCGTGCTTAGACCTGAACGCCTTGGTGACAGGGATCGACAACACAACGGGCAGTATCAGCTTGATTGTCCTGCATGCTGTCATGTTCGCTGGTCTGGCATTCGTTGGCATGTGTCACATCTCCTCGGCGGGGTTTTCGACGCGCAAAGCGACCCAAACCCGTTTCTTCGAGAAGGTCCGTGTAGGTGCTACGGTTCCGAAGGACAAAGCAGCAGCACTAATAGACACAGCTTCTATATGAATTCGACTGCGAGCCGGACCGCGTTGCTCTCGTCCAGGCACTGTTGCTCATGACGCTTCACTCACATCCTCTGCATGAACAAAAGGACATGTGGTACTGGACGGGCAGAGCCATTTCCGAGGCGTACAGCTGTGGCCTGCACCGCGCAGCCAACCCGTCAGACATGACGGCGCAAGAGGCTGCGCTGCGCAAGAAGCTCTGGTGGTGCGTATTTGTGCGGGATCGGCTGGTCGCACTCGGCATGCGGAGAGGAATGCAGGTCACGGTCGCGTACGATGCCCCAATGCTGACCCGGGACGACTTTGACTCCTTTTTGCTCTCGCTTGGCCTCGCTGACGGGAGTTTCGCAAGAGACATGGAGAAGCAGAGGCGACTCAGTACCATCTTCATCGCGACAGCTAAGTTGTGTATCGCATAGGCCATATCCTGTTGAGGTAGTACGGCGTTTCGAGCCAAAGCCAGGACCCGGGGACGCCATCGACACTGGTCCCCAAGGGCCAACCGCTTGAGACTTGGGAGGTTGAGGCAGGCCATGCGGAGCTGCAGCAATGGCTTGATAGTCTGCGGCGAGAAGTCCCACGGGATGATCCGCTGAGGACTGACAACTCTACCGACATATACCGGTCGCTGCTCTATATGCTCTTCTACACGGCGCGTTCGACGCTTCATCGGCCAAGGGCAGGCTTGCTAGGCTCAACCACAGCTTCAGCTGCTGGAAATAAGGCAGAAATTTCGCATCGAATAGTCTGGCATGCAGCTTTGTCAATCACGGCTCTGGCAAAGACACTTATGGACGCAAATCTTGTACGCTATCTGCTGGTGACCGGCATCACGGTGTTGCTACCGGCTTTGACGCGGCATCTGCTCCATCTCGATGCCGAAAAAGATTTAGAGCGCCTTGTGGCAAGGTGAGCCTTTTCGGAATGCATTCAAGTGCTGGATGAGCTAAGGACTGTCTACTCAGCTACCGACGACGCCGCCTTCTTTGTCCAACAGGCTCTTCGTCGCAGAACTCCTTATGCCAGCAGCGATGCTTGTCTGGCCGACGCACTGCATGTCCAAGGAGCATCCTTCAATCGCGCACATGGTTTGCTTCAAGTCTGCATGGGGTCAGGGGCGTCCTTATATTGCGGTGATGTACCAACATCAAGCGTAGGATCCAACGCAGTGGCAAAATACCCTGGCTGGTAGGGTCTGCACACGGCTGGCGCGCTGTTGTTCTTTCCCACAAGTCAATACACCCTTGGATAAGGGGCTGAGGAAACTCCGAGACAGGTGGATATGTTTGAGCAGTAAACTCTGCCCTTAATCTACAGTTCCCATGGGCAGGGAGATGAGTATGCAATGGCGTTCATATAGAGTCCCATTGTTCAGGAAATCTTGAGTCGTTGCAGGAATATTCAGACAAGTAACGGCCTTCAATTCACCTGGCATGGTTCCTACAATTCACAGGTATTGATACAATAACTGTCGCAGTCAATATATAGGGGGCTATAATTACGAGTTAAGGTGTGGATCTGCATTTTTGACTTCAACAATAACACATGACAGCAGCTTCACTCATTATAACCAGCCTATCCCATTCTTATACCGTGTCCTAGGATATTGTTGGTTAGTCCCACTCAACAAAAGGAAGATCGTTCCAACTCTCGTGTTCGCCGCCTGTGTGGATAACATGGGCACCGCGATTGCAGTTTCTCTCGCCTGGCAGTATATCAAGCTCTGCATAACTTAAGTCTCTACCGCCGATTGATAGACGCAACCCCTCACCCGCCTCATAGAACATGCCGATGGGCCACGTGTTGAATTCAAGAGCAACAATGCTTCCGGGGCTGACCTTGTCCTCGGTGATGTGTGGGTGGAAGATCTCGCCAGGTGCGCACTCGGTGCTCGGCTCCATCGCGCGGTGACTATTTCTGAGCATGCCGCTCGGCCCTTGATGGCGGGCCGTGTTTATCTTGGGCATGTCCTCCAGGCGCGTCGCCGTGGGGAATTTCACCTGCTCAACAACGTTGCCATACCTGTCAAGCTTTCGGATGAGGACGAAGACGTCCATATCGTCGTGCTCCTCGCAGTGCATGCAAAGACGGACGGTGGGATAGCCGGCAAGGGTTGTGGGGTGGCGGAAGACGTTCTCAAAGTTGGCCTCTCCTTTTACAGCGGCCCGGTAGCTACATGACGCTGGCTGTGGATGGTTCACCTCCTCAGCCGTGCCAGACGACGCGTTGAGGTAGTATTTGCGACGGAGGGTCTTGGGAGGTGGGTACGAGTCCATGGCTTTGTTGATGATGGGGGGGGCGATTCAGGCGCAGAAGAGAACAGCGGACAGTTGGTGTGGACTGCCATCCGTTTTCTTTCCCCTTGAGGAAGTAGTCGAAGAAGCGTAAGAGGTCAGCCTGCTCCCCAATAAAGTCGTACCACTCCTGGTATGGATGAACACGTAGCCACTTCTCCCTAGACGAGATATTACGGAACCCGCGGAAGCTGCCGCTGACGTGGATCTTGGAGGTGTAGCTCGCGACGACGTATGCAGGGACGGTGATTTTGGCGAGATCGACTTTCTTGTCCTCCCAGTACTCGCTCCACGTCGGGTTACAAGCCGCCATCCTGCCCGCCTCCTCCATCAGGCCGTTGCCGGGCACCAACAGGCCGAGAGATGACGGCATGGTCCTATTTGCCATTCCTCCTCGCCGGTGCTGGTCACGGTAGGCATCCGTCAGCCCCTCCCACGGCGCTATGGCAGCTAGATGAGGCGGCTTGCCAGCTGCGATAAACCACTGGGATATGGCCAGCCACGAGTTGCCCGCCATGCCGACCTTGCCGTTGCACCAGGGGAGACTAGCCAGGTGCTCGATGGTATCATAGCCGTCGATCTGCTCCTGTCTACCCCAGAAGTATAGGTCGCCCTCTGAGCGCCAGGATCCTCTTATGTCGACGTTGAAGACGGCGTAGCCTTTGGGGACATAAAAGGCCGGATCTAGCCCCTCAAAGTCCTCAAAGCCGCTCGTCTCGGACTTATGCAGCCCGACACGGCCGGGCATAGAAGCCAGCATGGTGTTCATGTTGAGGTGTTTCCCGTATGGACTCCATGATAGGATGGCCGGATACTCGATATTCTCATCGACGGGGCGGTAAATGTCGGCGTAGAGATGCACGCCATCGCGCATCCGGATCTTGACATCGGTCTCGAGGGTCATATCGGCTTGCAGTGCCATCATGCCAGCCTCCTTCATGGTTCCCCTCGTGAGAACCCTCGTCGGCCTGTTTATTTCGGCAGGTCGAGAGATAGGAAGGCCAGGAAGGAAGGGGCCATATGGATTCTGGGGCTTCGCCATGTAGAATTCCTTGCTATCAAGGATCCTCCTCCTTTTCACCACCTTTCTTCTTTGAAAGATGATGGAGAACACAACAACTGCGTTTAACAGCCCATTTACTAGCCAGTTGATAATTGACATTATCTCGAGGTCTTGAAGGTGTGGTTTATTGTAATAGATAGTGCGTAAGAGATACGCAATGGACTGCGGAGACAAAGGGTGGTACATAGGTAAGGGAAACTTTAATGGGTGTAATAAAATACGTTTAGCGCTAGGCCATTTTTTTTATTTAAAAAAAAAGTAGTTCTTCCTTTTTTCTATATTTATTCTTAATCTTTAAAGACTTTAAGGTTACTCTATAGTCACTACTCCGTGGATATACTGATAAGATATCCGTGGCCATTAACGAGGTTACATCACACCCCGGAAATGTTTCTCCTCGGGCGAGTAAGGAGACTGCACACCGCTGACATAGGCTCGCCTCGGCATAACTCGGCCTCCGGAAAGAGTTTTCATATTGTAGGGCTAGGAACATCGTCCAGACTGTGCATCAGGAAGAGCAAAGAGAAACTAGGTTAGGCGCTTAGAACCACTGATCTCCAAGCACGGGGGCGACAGGCAGAATGCAACATGCTTGTCTCATTCCCAATTGAATGCAGAGGAGAAAGTAAAAGGGTTGTAAGACTTGGGTGTCATTGGCTCCTTATCTGAAGAATAGGGTTGTTGAAGTAAAAAATGTGGTTCCACTTCTTGACCCGTAGTTATAGCCCCCTACGCCGGCTTCGGCTAGGGGGATATTGGTGAAGGCAAGGTCCATTGTGTTGCTGTGGGAATTTGTGGGTACGTCGATAGCAGAGATATTTGTTTGCCGCCCAGGAGGCAATTACTCCTCCTCGACCTTCCCTTCGGCCGGTTTGCCAGCTGTGATGTTTGGCGTTGAAGTCTCCAGCACGAGGCAGCGGTCCGGGATTGCCCACTGCAACAGAACATCCAGCGCGTCGTTTTCGTCTGGCCGGCGGTAGAAGTTGACTACCGTGATGTCGTTGATTGAGAGCCACAGGATGTCCCTGGTCAAATACGCTCGTTTCTGGTCAGCAAGGAGATTGGAGTCGCGGCGGACGTACGTCATGACTCTCGGCCGAGTGCTAATGCTATCCCAGGCGTCTACTGGGGAGAAAGTTTCGTAGGCCGGATGGGTCTTGGTGAGGCATCGCGAGTCTTTTGCCGCTGTCCAAGGCTCCTGTGGGAGAACAACGTCGTACCGTTCAGAGTCCGCAAGAGCTACAGCACAGTCATGGGCTGGAGGTATCTTAGCTATGTTGGCTTGAAGTACCCGGAGGGTCTTTCTTTTGTTTGCGGGTCTTCGGGGTCGTCTGTTTATGAAGACGATGGTGCTAAGTTGATTCGGCGCTTCTTAGGGGAAGCAGGTCCCCGTGGTTTGGATTTACTTGTTCTGTCAGGCGTGGTGGCAACTAGAATGCAGGATGGCGATCTGGGTGCGGCTGGCGGGTGGCCTCCCGGCGGGGTTGGTGAATCCTGCGATTGCTGGCTGCGTGGTCGTGGCGTAGGGTCTGAGTTCCTCTGTTGTGTCTGTTCGTCAATACGGTCCGATCCAGCGTTATGTTGCTGGTATGGCTGGGCGCGTATCTGCCGCACCAGCGTTCTTTGCTCACTAGTCAGTCGACGTAGCATGCCATGGCTTCGCCTGGGCTGAGCCGGGCACGTTTGTCTCGCTGCAGCGCCCGCAGCAGGGTCGGCGATCGCATTTCCGCGGTGCGTGGTAGTCCCAACACACGTCGCATTGGTTCGGGGGTTTGGTTTTGACGATGAGTCTAGCGGGGCGGCTGTTGTCGAATAGGCGCCAATATCTTTGGGTCGGCTGTAGAAAAGACACGAGCAGAGTCCTTGTAGGTAGCTCGTCCGAATTGTGACCCGAAGCATGTAGGCTGATTGGTGCTGGTTCATGTAATGATCGATCTTACTTAGCAAGACTTAATCGTAAGTTTTCTGTCCAGGGAAAGCTAGGTCTTAACCTGAGCTTAGCTAGGTAATAGGTAGTTAAGTAGTATTATTTATAAATAATTATTAAGAGATATTATTTTTATTTAATTATAATAAAATATTTAAATTAAATATTAAAAAATTAATTTGTTATGCTACGAACAGGGGCTGTACGGAGCCTCCTATAAAAGGGCAGGAAACAGCCAGCAGATAGAAGCAATTCAAGCCTTTAGAATTATACTACCTCATACACAAGTGAAGGTATCATGAACCTAGGTTTCAACCACAAGCTATCCGACTACGGCTACCCTGTAGCTAACTTCAAATAACCTATCTATAACGCCTGGCTGGTTGCGGCCAGTTTGAGCGTAATATAATTCTTATATTAAAATATATCTTTAATTATTTTTATATATTATATTATATTTTTTTTTTTTCAGGTATAGACTGCTAATTGTATTCTTAAAAAATATATATTAAATTATATATTGCCTGATCTTGGGATATACCCTTATTTATAGCAAAACTAATAAAAAAAAAATATTATATTTTTTTTAAATTATTTTATAATTTATTATAATCTTTTATTAAATATTTTTTTTAGTAAAGTAATTTTTAGGATAATATAATTTAAAATTAACCTAGCTTTTATACCTAGGTTTTTTTTTTTTTAATGCTTATAATTCCTTCCTCAAATCGCAGGGTATCTAGTAGCCAATCTAGCCCATCCTTGCGACCTGTATTAGCTACGTTTATAACAGCTCAGTTTAGGAGATAATCTCCTCTTTGATTGCGAGGTCGTAGGCTACTTCATTACCGTAAAGGTCTGTCAGGCGGCGAGGGCACTCCGGTATCACGTAGGTGTACCATTTCTGACTTCGTTCCACGGCAGTAGCTCCGAAGTCGTTTGCCCACTCATCCTTTCGTTCGATCAGGAGTTCACGGGTGGTTGAGTCAGCCGGGCGGATCGCCCATCCAGTATTGACCAGAGTCGCCGGCGGGATCCGGCCAAGGTCAATGCCAGGTTTGCTGGCGATATAGGTCCGAATGGCATCGCCGATCTGGTTTCTGGCCGGCGCTTCGATTTCAAGCCGGACGAAAACACGGAGGTCGTCGGGAGGTGGGGCGAGAGGAGCCGGTTGTCCCTGGAGACGCTGGCCATTTTGTTGTTGTTAACGTTGTTGTTTTGGGGGGGGTCGTTCGTGGTCGAAGTCGTAGGCCCAGTGGAACGGCGCTCGGGGCTCCAAGCAGCGACGCTGGTACGGGAGCAGATTTGGCGTCCTGAATTCCAGGAAGCTCTTGGGAAAGTGCTGTGCAAAGCTCCTCTCCGGTCCGGAAGTAAATCGTTGAGCTGTCTCTTCGAATGATACGCAAAAGGCTTGGAATGCAGTCAACTTGGCGTGGTATGCCTCCACTTGTTCACGTGCGAGTCTGTTGGCTGATTCGAGAATAGAGACGGGCCTATCGGCGTCTCGTGGGATGGGGCCCGGCAGATGGGGAAGATCGGCATGCTGTGCTCATTCCGCAGCTGCAGCGTGGGATGCCGCATTGAGCGGCGACGAAGGGGTCTGGGCTGCTGTCCCAAAGGCAGGCGGAACACTGATTGGACGGCTCACAATGGGCGAACTGTTTCGAAGGAGGGCAGCACGAGCTCCTCCTGCTAGGTTGGCGGGAGTATAAACGCCCAGATCAAACCGATCCGGGCCAGGCTGGAGGCGGCAGATGCCATTGCCGCTGCCGACGACGGCGCGGAGCGCAGTTGAAAGTAGTATTTGGTGGTGCACTTGTTAAGCAAATGGGTGTCGGTCAGGCCACTTCCTTAACATTTGCACGCCAAGCAAGTAAGATGACGAAGGAAGGTGTGAGCTGTAACTTATACGCCTTTTTCCCCAGACTGCCAGGTACCTGTAGAAAACCTTTAGCAGAACGGGGCTACATCTCGGTTAGCCCTGGCATTCGGACTTTAACCCATAGGTTTGAGTCACAGCTCAAAAGCAGTGGGTCTACGGCGTGCGCCAGAGCGCGTCAGGGCTGAGTTCTCACTGACGGATACATTATAGTGCCAGCACGGTCCTCTACTAGGACTATGGATGAAATTGTTGAATGAAGAGGGAAAGTAGACAGAGAGAGCTTGACGGACTGGGCAAGAGGAGGCATCATCGTGTCTGACATGGCGTCCAGGGGTTCTTTGCGAGGTAACTTGAATAAGTAGGACAAGCTCACGCCCCCCAAGCCACCCAAGTGGCTTTACTCATTTCGGGGTCTCTCGCCGCTCCGGATACTATATTCTTAATGAAGAATCCAACCGAATATATCGCAACAAGCCTGATGTTCCTAACAGCTGCAGTTAGAAGAGGAAGCTTAAGAAAGCAGATCTGGATAAGATAGATAACCTTTACAAGAAGGAAGGCTTTAAGGTAGAGGAGCTGCTTTTCAGCTATAGCTATAGAAGCTGGTACTAATACTGAGGTCTTTAGCTATATAATTAGCCGGAGGCTAGCCTTATATAATATGTATAAACAGATAGCTATCTAAGTTAGCTATAAGAGTAAAGCTAAAGCCTACTGCTGGGTTATCTATATAGAGAGAGCTCTTATCTTACAGCCTAGACTAGAGGATTAGTATAATATATTATTCTCAGATAAGTACTACTTTAGCTATAGAGATTAGGATAAAACCCTTATTATAAGGAAGAGAGGTACTTAAATATATTCTATAAACCTTTAAGAGTAAAAGCAGTCTATAGATAAGTAGCTTAAGTAGTTATATAGCTAGGGAGCTATTAGCTAGAACTTTAAGAGCTCTCTTATCTAGTATAACTCTAGTAATAGTAATAGTAAGATAATCTAAGCTATATATAAGAAAGAGATATTAGAGCCCTATATTAGTAAGTAAATTAAATAAAGCTATTCCTTTATATTAGAAAAAGATAGTAATAGTAGCTATAAGCCTAGTAGAGCTAATTCTATATAAATATAGAAGGAAGAGTAAAATTTTAAGAACTACTTTAATTACCCTTTAAGCCTGGATCTCTCTCTAATTAAGAACTACTAGTTTATACCGAAGGAATATATCTGGAAGTATATCTATTAGAATAGAGATATTCTTTATAATCTTATAGAGGAAGACTAGGATAATTTAAAGTAAGAGATAATAAATAGATAGATAGAATCTATACTATAGTACCTCTAAGATATAATTAATATAATAGGAAAAATAACTACTTAGTAGAGTATAAAATAGCTGTCTGGATTTACTAGTAAATTGGCTGTTTAATTGGACAGGAGGTGTGTGTGTGGGCGTGAGGGATTTTGGTGTGCAATGTCTTCCCCGCAATGTACAGTAACTGCTTATTAAGCTGAAAAGGGGAAGGACTAAATTATGGCCACCTCCGTGCCGTCCACTTCTGCTCAGCATTCTATCATCTATCATGGCTGACAGAGCCATCAGCCGTACGCGCAACCAGCGCGCAAAACGAGTTACTCAGGCCTGTGATTACTGCCGCCAGAAGCGGGTACGTGGGCACCCAGCCGGAGCTCTCTACAATGACGAACGACATCTCACGCGGTCTTTGACCCTCCTAGTTGAAATGCACGGAGAACCAATACCCCTGCTTGAACTGCCAACTGTACAACGCCGAGTGCACCACGCGTGGCCAGGCCCGGCGTGTCGGGACTACCCAGACGTCGAGTGATTCTGGAGCCCATGATGTCGTCCGGGCGGCTGAGAACCAGCCGCAAGTAGGAATGGCGCAGTGGACGCAGGAGCAGGATTTGGACCACGCTGCGAACCAGGACTTTAACAACCTGGTGCAGCAACTGGAAAATGGTGTCGCTTCGGACTTTATCGACCTGGACGATGCCATGTGTGCTGACTTTCCCAATGCCGATACCCTCCTAAGCCCGGGACATGGGCCCTGGACGGGGTATACTCTGCCAACTCGGCCACATGCCACGGCAGATCCCATGCCCGAGCCGACTGCACTGTCACCCTTTGGCAAAGTGTCAAGCATCGATTCGCTCGTCAAGCAAGACCCAAACACGACAGAATTAGACCGATCCATACCCCCGGGTATCTTCATCCGAAAGAATGAAGGTGTAGCTAACTATCTCGGTGCAGTATTCTATCGGCTCGAGTGCCATTCATCGCTGACAGGCTATTAGGGATAACTTCAGTGGGAGCGACGATGGCTCTCTGCCTAAAGGATGCCCATGAAAGCCAGCGAATTCCTGTCGATGGAAACTCCATGGGGTTCCTGGTTGAAGCAGGCCCCCATGTGGATGAGGTAGGCTTGTCGTCTCGCCTTGACCTCTCAGCGCAGAGCCTGCCTCGATCAGAAGCAGCTATGCAGAGCATTGATGGTATTGAATCCGGATTCTATCCCCGCATCCGTGAGGGCTAACACTGATGGAGCATATTTCAAAACCGTCGATGGCTTCTACCCCATAGTCGATGAGGAGCCCTTGCGCGCTAAAGCCCACATGCTATACACGTCGGACCGATCACATGTCAGCGTCGTTGACTACTCAATGTTTTACCTCGTCGTGTCGCTAGGTGCAATGGGCATCAGCCAGACGTCTGGCCGTTCCGACGCCAGCGAGCAGCTCTCTGTCGATGCCTACGAGCGGGCCTGGTCCATAATGAGCGATTCGATCGCAACACCATGCGAGGCCTCGTTGCAGGTTCTCTTGCTTCATGTGAGTACGTGGCCGTCTAATAGTTCATTACTGACTAGATAGATTGTCCGGCATTCTTACTTTGGCAAGTCTGGGATCGCATGGGTCTTTTGCGGTCTTGCCATACGCATCGCCGAGGCGATCGGACTGCATCGGAAAATCCCCAAGGAGATGGATGTGCCAAAAAGTCAAGTGTGGCTTCGTTCACGGCTCTGGTGGATTTTGCTGCACCTCGATGCGTACGCCAGTTCTCAAGGCCCTCTCCATACCCGTACTGACCGTCTGGCCAGGAGTCTCTCCATCTCGCAGGGCAGGCCGCCCGGGCTCATCAACCCGACGTACGATCTGGATACGAGGCTTCCAGACGCAGGCATGGACGAGGACAAACTGGTCCCAAGCCTGGCACAGTTCCTCACCTGGCGTTTCAGGCTTAACCGGATCCAGACGCGCTTCTGTAGCGCCATGCACTCCAGCGATACCGCTGCCTCGAGGTTGGAGGCAATCACAAGGGCAGATGAAGAGATGAGCGAGTGGAAGGGTGACTTGCCCACCATATGCAGACCGGATCACCACATTTCGGTGTCGCCTGACAGGTACCTACAGGTCGTCCTCTTGCACTTGGACTATTTCAACTTGCTGCGGACGATCTACTGGGCAGCTATTACACTGGGATCTACCGGTAGCAACGCGAGCCCCCGCATCCAAGCGAGCGAAATCCTATGCGTCGAAGCGGCACGGTCTTTCATCAAGACATTAAACAAGTACGTCCAAGTCTGTATGTTTGGCAGCGATTCTAACGCCTTGCTAGCAGCAAGAACGAACTTGGAGGAAGGAGGATACTAATTTTCAGGTAAGCTCAAGTCATAAGAACATCCTTACTAGACACTTACTGAAGTAGTTTCCTCACGAACAACTACATGGCGGCAATAGCAGTGTTATACCGAAGCATCTCTAAGAATCCGCTTAGTTTCTCAGCGCGGGCGGACCTCGAGCATTTGCGCGCAGGCAAGATTCATCTCGACCTTGATACGCCTAGCAACGGTACTGTTCCGGCCTTGAAGGCCCTGTTTGAGAACATGCTCTCGAATGCGCAGGATTTTGTCTGGAAACCGGATTTCTTTCACAGTACAAGGACTCGCTAAAGCAACAGGTCAACCCAGGGAGCCATAATAGGTACCAAGCCGCTACCTGCTAAGAGAGATCGCTCAAATAAGAATCTCACCAGGATAATAAAGCTGCTAATATATAGATATAATAAGATTAGTCTTATTATAAATAAAGTATATATTATTAATTTTAGAGATTATAATCTCTATAATTTAATAGAATTATAAATATTATTAGTAATTATAATTACTAAATATTAATTTTTTTTTAAAAAAAAAATAAAAATTATTTAATAATTTTTTTTTTAATTTTTTTTAAATATAATTTATATATAATTTATTTATTTTATTTAATAATTAATATTTATATTTTAAATATAAATAGAATTTTTTTTTAAAGATTTTTATTATATATAAAAAATATTTTAAAATTAAATTATATATAATTAATTTTATATAATTTATTTTTAATTAGATTTTAATTTATATTTAATTTTTAATTTTTTTTTTTTTTTTTTTTTATTTATATAAATTAAAATAAAATAATAATTTTTTTAAAAATTTTAAAAAAAACTTATTAAATATATAATTTAATTATAAATTTTAAAAAAAAATATTTATTATTTATAATTAATTATAATATTTTTTTAAATTTATTATTATTATTATTAATTATTTTTTTTTATAATAATAAAAAATATTTTTAATATTATTATTTTTTATAATTAAAATTTAATTATTATAAATAATTAAATTTTTATATATATAATAATTATTATTAATAAAAATTATTAAATTTTTTTTTTAAATATTAATTATATAAAAAATATTTTAAAATTAAATTATATATAATTAATTTTATATAATTTATTTTTAATTAGATTTTAATTTATATTTAATTTTTAATTTTTTTTTTTTTTTTTTTTTATTTATATAAATTAAAATAAAATAATAATTTTTTTAAAAATTTTAAAAAAAACTTATTAAATATATAATTTAATTATAAATTTTAAAAAAAAATATTTATTATTTATAATTAATTATAAT